GTGATGAAAAATGCGACACTTACACGCTGCCATATTTCTGTTATATTTTATAATTAGGGTCTCAGACATAATTTGGCCAATTTTGCGAGCGTAAATGATTTCCACAAATTTTCCATATGTACAAGAATTATGAAAAACGTAGGCTGGCGAGAAAACTCTTTTGTAAGGTGGACATTGTTTTTCAAAATGGCAGCTCTAATTTTCCGTATTGGAAGTTAATCGAGGTAAGTTGAAATACCAGTTTCATTACTTCCATTTGTAAAAGTGATTATTTTTTAAGTAGCTTCTAGTGAATCGTGATATATAATAACCTGTTTCTGGGTAAACAAAACTTGAGCCCATATATAATAAATTCAGAATCAATAAAAATAGAAAATATCGAATTTTGTAAGGGTTATAAAATTCGAAAGTTCTTATTTTGATTTGAAAATATCTCTCAATATCAAGCTGTCCAATTTTTCTGATGTCTGAGGCTTGTCGGCGCACATTTTTAAGTAAAATGTAACTTGTTTTCTCAAATTTCAAATATCCAAGTATCCTTTCAAGTCAAAATAAATTCATTAGAAATATCACTAATCACACGAATTCATTACAATTAAAATGTTTTACTCAGCAGGTAAACTCATTTTAATATTTCATTAATTTTTGAATAAAACCGAATAAAAAATTATGTTTAGCAACGTATTAAATTTGTTTCCTGTTTATATCGTCGCTCCAGAATGATCGTGAGGCAATTTCAAAAATACCATATTGGGATAATCGCTTTTTTAATATTTATCAGGCTGTATTTTTTTGTATTATTATAATAAACTATAAAAGAAGTAATGTATGTTATAGGCTATTAGATAACTATGAGTATGTTGCAATACCATTAAATTTAAGCTATCCTTTATTTTTTCTATAGAATAGTTGAAGTTGACTCAGTATAATACTGGAACGCCTTTAAAAAATAAATATCTTCTTTTATTATTGAAAATGACGGTGTATTATATGGAAATTATGCTAATATTTTTAATATCTTTTTTACTGTAAGTTGTCCCTCTATTTTAATAAAATTCTACAAAAAATGTGAAACCATTTCATGATGTTACTATTCTACAACAATAATTATTATAAAATTTACCTGTTTCTTTAATAACTGTAAAAATTTCAATAAGACATGAAATTCGTGAAGATAAACTTTATTCACAATAAAACTTTATTAACTCGCATAGACTCGTTTAGACGTAATTAGAGGTAGTTTCAAGTATACGAAATAAACATAAAAAAGGATCAAAAACTAAACTTGAATTATTTTATTCGTCAACGACGACTTCTTGTCCTTTCTTATATTATAGGCTTTATTAATGTTTCTGTAAAAATGTCGATGCTCTTCTGGCATATGTGGTAATAAAGAAAGTAGACTTTCTTTTTCCTTGAACGGAATTTTTTGTTTTTGTTTATAAGCTTCTTGCATCTAAGTATTTCTTTTTATTTTTATTTCTTTGAATGACTCTTCTTTATAACTATTTTTATAGTATAATCTATCAGCTTCATCTCTTGTCAAATGAATAACTTTAATTTGTTCCCAAGCAACTCTTTCTCCATTTGTATTCAGATTAAACTGGCCATAGTAGGAGGTCAACATTTTCCAGTCAATAACGTCATTGGATTTAAAATCATTGACAACGTATGGCTTACCAGTTTTTTTATTACTTTTCAGGAGAATACAAGGATATTTTAAAATGTCTTAGTATATCTCCACAACCTAACAATTATTTTTTATACTGATTAAAGAAGATCACCTAAAAATCAAGACAACTTAAGACATTTTCATCTAAATTTTTGTTCAATATAAAAACATTTTAAAATAGTTTAGTTCCATGGAATTATAACTCTTGGCAGAAGGTAATATAAAGACATTTGAATATGTCTTACTATTCTATATTGTTATTTAAGGATAGATCGCATAGAATAGTAAGGGGAGTTAAACATATTCTAGTATATGACAAAAATTTCAGCGGATTCATTAAAAATCCCAAAATTGAAGCTTTTAAGCTGTCTTACTATTATTCTTCTGGAGCGACATATGTTGCAGTTTTAGTGGAAAAACGTGAAAAATAAATTTTAAAGTTGTGTACATTACAAAGTGGTTCTACAGCTTCTAAGTGAAAACGCCGTGAGTACTACGCTGTTTTTTCGCACATCGTGATAAGAAGGTGATTAGGCTGATAACAGTAAATACTTGTGCGGCGTTGTCACATTGTTGAGGTATTCTCTGCTTTCACGTTTGAGCCAGGATTTATACAACGAGTTTCGTGATTTGGATTTTCAGACCTTTTAATGAAAATTGCTGTATGTTATATATTACCTATGGAAGGAACGCCATGGAGTGCGTCTTATGTAAGGAGAAGAAAACTAGTGCCACTAATTTTTTTCAGTGAGGTGGTTGTATTTCAAACTTATGCGCGAAGTGCAGCAGCCTTACTGCCTCAAAACCTAAAGTTATGGAAATTCGGAATTATGCGATTTTTATCTAGGGAATGTACAAAATTTGACACACTTATGTTACTAAACTAAACTATCGAAGATAAGACCAAAGTTATTGATATCAGGGATGAAATTATACAATTACTCAAAGCCAGAGTGAAGGAGTTGAACATGAAAGTGCCGTGCCATCTTACACTAGTATAGCGTAAACAATATTGCCTGAATCTGCGTTAAATAAGAACCGAGGTATAAATGTTCTTAGTATTATGGTTGTGCCCAGGGGCAACAAAATTTTGAGATTACTGCTGACAAAAGTTAAACCATCTGACTTAAAAGTTGGTATTAAAAACATCAGACCAGCAAAAAATGGCAGTGCAATAGTCAGACAGGATGTTGAACTTTTCAAGAAAGAAGCTGAAAAAAGCCTGCCTGAATATGAAGTTCAGGTAACAAAAATGAGACAACCCAGAATTAAAATCATTGGTTACCCTGGGAACTTATTTGGAGAAATGCATACGTGAGCAAAACAGTTTTATTAATGACAGTGATGATTTTACAATCACATAGAGTGGACATACGTATTGGACAATCATCGCTAATGCAGATCTCGCAGGTTTGAACAGGTTACAACTTGTACGCGCCACCGCTATCGTGCTCGATGCGTAAGCATTGTTTCACTTAGTTTGAATTTGACTACTAGTGATAGCGGTACGGCCTAGCGTGCGTTCATTGTTTACTATTTATTCATTGTGTATTAAGTATAGTACCTAGTAGTGTCATCACAAACTCAGAAGCGAAAGCACAAAACATTGACAATTAAAGAAAGATGTGATATTTTAGACCGCTTAAATCGCAATGAAACTTTCAGTAGTTTAGCAAGTGAATACGGCGTAGGCCGATCTACAATTTATGACATTAAAAGAAACCACGAGAAGATCAAGAAGTTTGTGTCAACTACTGACTGCGGGCCAGGCAAGAGACAGACACTCAAGAAAGCTGAACATCCAGAAATGGAAGAAGCTTTGTACATGTGGTTTCTTCAGGAAAGAAATAGGCATGCACCAATTTCAGGACCCATGTTGGCCATGAAAGCTAAGTTTTTTTATAAGGAAATAACAAAAAAATATGATTTTGTAGCCAGCAAAGGATGGCTAGAACGTTTTAAAAGTCGTCATGGCATAAGTTTAATGACTATTACAGGAGAGAAACTTCCTAACGATGCCACCTGCATAGAGCCCATTAAATTAAGATTTTTGCAAAAGGTGAACGTTTTAAATCTTGACCCGTGGTACAATGCAGACGAATCAGGGCTTTTTTGGCGTGTGATGCCTAACAAAACTATCGTTTGTTGTAACGAAAAATCCGTACCTGGACGAAAAGTAAGTAAAGAGCGTGTAACCATACTACCATGTGCTAACGCTGCGGGCACACACGCGCTTAAGATGATGGTCATTGGGAAATCTAATAAACCACGGGCATTCAAAAACATTCATTTACCTGTACACTATTACGGACAAAAAAGTGCATGGATGACAAAAGACCTTTTCAAAAAGTGATTTGATGAATGCTTCGTACCTGAAGTTAGCAAATGGTTAAAATATCATAATTTTCCCCAAAAAGCATTGTTGCTTCTTGATAACGCTCCCGGCCATCCATCTGAAGGAGAACTAACAACTGAGGATAAATGCGTCACTGCGATGTTTCTTCCGCCAAATTGCACTGCACTGATTCAACCAATGGACCAGAATATCATTCAGTTTGTCAAGCAAGACTATAAGAAAAACCTACTTCTGAGAGCCGTATCAAAAGACCAACCAATAGAAAAAACTTTAAAAGAATTTAATATGAAAGACTTTGCTCTTTGTCAGTCGTGGAATGCGTTACCGTCATCAACTATTAAATCGTCTTGGAAAAGTTATGGCCAGATATAGTCACCACTCCTAGCAACGTTCCACAAATCAGTGTTACTTCGGAAGTTATAGATCAAGTCGCTACTGAAACACAGATAAGTCCAGAAGATTTGGAAATCTGGTGCCGTGGAATGGATGAAGAGGAAAACATTTTTCATGAAATGTCTGACGAAGGGATTATAAAAGAGGTTCCTTTCTAATTACGTATATACAACACATAATCAGGAAAATAACGACGACGTGATTGCAACTGCTCCACAAGTCACAGCACAAGACGCAATTGACGCATTTGAGCTAGGTTTACAATAGGCTGAAGAGCATGGTACATCCTACAACGAACTTTTACTTTTGAGGAGACTGAGGGACAAAGCTCCGATCTCGCGTTATAACAACCTTAAACAAAAAAAAAAATTGATATTTCCAAGCTTCATAATTTGATAAATTCATTAATGATTTTGATTAATAATTCTTGATTATTTTGGTACCCATGTATGTGCATTTATGCTTAATTTTATAATAAAACGTAAGCTCTTTATTGTTATTTAATTTACTAAATTCGAAATACATAAACTATGTATGATTTGTATTTCAAAATACATACATATACATAACATATATAATCTTACCATTGGATATGTAATTTGTCGGATTACAAGGTACTCTTTTGTAAAAAATTCCGGACTACAGGTGGTCTTAGGCAGTGCTCTATAATCCGACAAATTCGATAGTCCGACACATGCCCTGCATAATGTTTGTCGGATTACCGGAGGTCCACTTTATCTAAGAGAGAGAAAAATTAATGATACAATCACTGTATTTGGAGCAGCCAGCATCTCCTAATTTATTCCAAAAGATGCTCAACAACGGGAAACTGTTTGTTGAATGGGGTAGTTACACAGCTTATGAAGACGTCTCAATACAACGGTGTTTCAAAAGCCAAGAGCACTATCACAAAAATACACAATGCTGTAATCAGGAGATATGTACACATTGTGCTGAACAACATATCACTCTCGGCTGTACAAAAACTAATAATGAAAAATGGCAAAAATGCATAAATTGTCTTAGAACAAATACAATCATGAGGTCACTAGTCCCGATTGTCCAACCTGCAAATACCACATACAAATTCTGCGAAGTCGTGGACACTAATAGACAAGAAATTGAGATTGGAAAACTTTTGGATGTCGTGGATGAGGAGGTACAAGGCACCACTGACTGTGATGTGTTGAAGTCTTTAATAACTACTTTAAACAATAATGTACTTAACATACTTCATCTTAATATTCGTGGTATACATAATAACTTTAATGAATTGTTGATCTTAAGCACTGTGATATTATCATATTGACTGAGAGCTGGTCTATTGAGGATATACAGCTTCATAATTGAGAATTTTAATGTTCACTACAATAATGCAAACTTCAAGAAACAGGGTGCTCCTTAATGATATGCGAATATTTAAGGGTGTAAATCTAAATGGAAAATTAATGTTAGTTTGCTTTATAAGCTATGGTCCGAAAATGTTTCCTTACAAAAACTCGGGGTGTTGAAATTTTAGGAGAAAAAAATGGAAATTAATTAATACTTTCAGAACCGCTCCAGATATTTCACTGATATTTAGTACGTAGTGAAAGTTAATGAAGTTGCATATTTTTTAATGCAAAAATAATTTTTAGCTTTAGCAGTGGCGTGTGTACGGGTATTGACTTCACACTTAACGTACAGACTTACCTCAATTTTCTTCAACAACAGTTGCCTTTGCTGCTTGATGATGTTCCGTTCGTAATAAGAAACAATATTTGGTACATGCATGATGAAACTGTTTATCCAAATCGTTGGATTGGCCGCGGTGGGCTCCAAGAATGGCCACCAAGGTCCCCAGACCTCAACAGTTCAGATGTCCTTTTGTAGGAGTATCTTAAGACACTAGTGTACACAAGCCGCATTAACACTGTAGAGGATCTAAGAGAAAGGATAGTTGCAGCTTGTGATAGAATAAAAAGCAGGGATATTTCAACGAGTGCGCAATTCCATGAGAAGGAGGGCGGAAGCATGCATACTAAGTGAAGGGGGGCATTGTCAACAATTTTTGTAATCATTTCGTTGGTTTTAATCTTATGTTTATGTTGTCAGCTGTTGTTGTTCATTTCCCCTAATGTGTTTAATTTTTCCAATTATGTTTATAATAATTTTGAAAGTTAGACAATAGAACGTTTTTTATTTTATTTACTCAAAAATGGCGCATCGAAGGAAAACAATTCAGGATCATTTGTTTTAAATTGAACGGGGAATTCAAAAATAATTTTCATTTGGCAGAAAACCATTGGCGTGTACTATTTTTTTCTTAAAAATATCGAAGCCAATACCATCCGCACGCCACTGTTAAAGCTAAAAATTTCCTAACACTTTAACACCCTCAGTTTTTGTAAGGAAACATTTTTGGACCATAGTTTATAAAGCAAACTAACATTAATTTTTCATGTAGATTCACACCCGTAAATGTTATAAAGCCCTTGTGGATTCATCACTCAGATAAGGGATGATTGTTTGGGGAAGTTTATTTGAAACAGCATTAAAACCTTTAAAAACCATCCGAAACTACATCTTGAAAATAATTTTTAGGAAAAACAGAAGATATCCTACTTTTCAACTTTATAGTGAAACAATACTTGCTGTAAGACCATTGTATATTTTAGATGCCTGCTCCTTTATGTATAAAAATTCTTCAATAGGAGAATATGTTAGTCATCATTACTCAACCAGAAACAATGTTGATAGAAATCTAATAATTCCTAATAGTTTCACAAACACAAACTTAGGACCAATTGACTATATTGGTCCCAAATTCTACAACATTTTACCTGGATTTTACTCAGGATGATAAATACATTAAAATTGCTTAGTTCAGAGTTTAGGTCATTTGCTGTGGCAAACCTTTATAGGTTCATAGCTCTCTGTTAGCTAAACATGCAAATGCTTTAATCATTTTTTATGTCTCTTTTTAGGAACTTAAATTTTCAATTGGTTGCTTTTTGTCCTTGTCTATGTGGGTATAAAGTGATATGACATAACATTTTAGTTCAATAGACGTAATGTTCAAATAATTATTAACCTGGATTTATCTTGTTTTATTTGTTTTATTATTCATAAACTATATTTATATATATGTATTATTTTGTGAATATGTAAAACCATTGTATTTATTGCCATAATTATGTAATATATTAAATTAAATATTGAATTGAATCGAATTGAATGGAATTGAATTGAATGGAATTGAATTGAATGGAATTGAATTGAGTGCGTTTTGATTTAATTGTACATGTACTTCCTCTATATCACCGTTTATCTGTGCATTGTTCAGTATCACCTTTTCGTGTATAAAGGCTGAGTTACAGAAATATGCAAAGACTGCAGTGGTTTGCATTTTTGCAAATGATTCAGCTGGAAAATTATTCTTTCGTCGGCACTGTAGTGAAAAATGCGACTCTTACACGTTGCCGTATTTCTGTTACATTTTATAATTAGCGCGAATTGTAAGTATTTAGTGCTTATAATGTCTTAGTGCTCTGATCATAAGCCAATTTTAGGTTTACATAATGCGAGTGTTAGTGATTTGCCACCAATTTTTCATATAGACAAGAATTACGAAAAATGCAGGCAGGATAGAAAATTGTTTTGTACAGTGGACATTGTTTTACAAAATGGTAGCTCTAATTCGCCGTATTGGAAGTTAATCCAGGTAAGTGGGACTACCAGTTTTGTTACTTATTTCTGAGTACTCTCAGCAATGGGTAACACCGTGGAATGGGGTCCGCGGTTTACAAATGGCAAGAATTTTTACGACTCCCGAATATTACAAAATTTATTGGCAATAAAATCAGTAAAAATTATTTAGCGTCGTTTTCTGGTGTCCTATGAGACCATAATTACTTGTTATCAAGGTATTGTAATTTTTGGTGACAAAGGCTGTCAAGTTTTGCGGCGGGTAAACTCGAAAAAACTGATGACAGGTGCTGTCATACAATTTTTTAATCTAGAAACCATTTGTAATTCAAAATTGCGCATTTGTGATTGGTAGAAATTAAGACGAGGGAAATATGCATGTCAAAAAATTAGAGAGGGGTCACTTTCTAGCCGGACACCCATATACATTCAGTGGTTGGGATAAGTTTCTAATAAGGTGATTTATGTCTTCTTTAGGTATCTCATCCCAAGATAGCTGTTAGCGTTTGTGGTGGATAAGGTACAGATCCCACTATCTTTCCGTTACATCCCAAACATGTCCAATCGGAGGATGGGCAGAAAATTGTATTTCTTGAATAAGCATGCTACACCCATCGTCATGCCTCCTCTAATGGAAACTATATAGAAGTGACTTAGCTCCAGATAATGGCGCCCTAAACCATAATTGCTATAGTATGATGCACCGGACGTTCAACTTAAATCTGTTCTTTATGCCTTAGCCGTAAACAGAACCGAGATTACCACTAAAATCAATATCATTCCAATTTTATCGGTTTCAGTTCTACTTTGGGGATGCATGATACATGAATGAATTGATCGAAATATCCCGTATAATACGTTTCGTGTAGAAAAATGTTGTAGAACAATGTTGTAAGCTTGAATCTGACCTGCAAGGTGACTTGTTCTTAAATGGAAACCCCTATTTTTGATACAGGAAATAAATGACCAACCAGTAATCCCCGTGATCCTGTCTATGATCATCAAACTCATTCGAAAATCAAATGAATTTTCAACTCGAAATATATATTTAGTCTTTTCCAATGAATTCCGTCGTGACCTTTAAGATCATTTTCAGATCAGGAAAATTTTCGAGTAAACTCCTTTCTTTCTGTCGCGGATATAAATAAACGATATACTGAAATTAATTGATTGTTGCAATAAACTGTTGGAGCATGTTTACTGCTGAATATCGCACTCCTTTCTCCGAAACCAATCTCCTTCACATTAATACAAAACGAGTGACTTGTACTTTACACTACTTCCACACGAGCGGAGCCGCAAAGCTTAATCTAATAATTATTAAATTAAATTAAAAACTTATGGGTATTTCATTATGAATAAATTGATACTGAAAGAGACAGTATATTTATTTTAGCTGTACACATGGTACTGCTTCTTGATTTAAGACAATTAGAGTCAGAACGTCATTTATTTTAGGTCTCAACAGCAATTATGATCTAAAATTACATTTAAATGACTATTTTACTATTCACTTTTTTTTATAACAATATCATTTATTTAGTTCGAAATGAATGAACAAATTTCGAACACAATTCTCTCAAACTTCGACTTTTACACTTTAATGCCTTTATCTAAATAGAGCAGCGTAGATGTTTTCATTTGAAAATTTAATCACGGCTCCCTCTTCCTTATGTCTAACTGTATACAAAATTTTACCTAAATAAATTTATATCTCTTAGGTGCTCTGTTTTTTGTCACTGCGGGTAGACAGCACAAATTAGTTTACTGTATGCAAAATCAATAAAAAACACACACATACTTTAAATTATCATAGTAGATTAAGTTGCAATTGTCAACTATTTTGAATTTGGATCCGATTATCGGTTTACGGTTTTTTTCAGCAAACAATTATAGATCCAAGGTCCTATAACCATAATGAGTTATTTCACGCAATATGCATCGATGATTTCTGTCCAGCAATAAAAGACTGGAAAGGAGAAGAAACTGACTCCTTAAAACCATATTTGTCACAATGCTATACAGAGAACTACAAGGATCTTGAATTGACAGCCGAGGTTACCAATTTGAAGTGTTCCAGGCAGGACGTTGAATATATAGCGGGATTCTTGGACTACAGCATTCTGTCAGTGGTGATGTTAATTATCATTATTGTAATACTATAACAAAGTTAAATGGTCATTAAATTTAGAAGATTCATTATTGCAAACAACTATATTGGGTGGAATTTTTGAAGCAGTTGGATTATGGGTTCCAACGCTACAAAGAGTCACAGTCATTCTATTGATCTCACTATCACAATTCTGTTAAGAGCGCTATGTATATTAATAGTATAACCTAGACTTTATTTAACCTTTTTTCAGATACTTGTTTATTATTTATATCACATTTATAATATATGCCACATATTGTGATTATAGTGGTAGAGCTGCGAATTATCTAAGTGAGTATTTCTTTTATTTTTGTTCCGATGTTGTATTTCTGTGTAAAGTGTAAATAACAATTTCTGATTAGTTGAAACTACTATTTTTCATGTCATGGTTAACATTTTATTGGTGATGTGTTTATACTTCGGTAATCTCATTAATTATGACTAAAAAATACTTTGAAATAGCATAAATTCTATTAAGCGCAGGCTAACCTCATTTAAAAAGCTCCCATAGGGTCTATTCTTATACAGGGCCGTATTTCTCCCAGGTCCTGATAGCGGACCTAGACTGCAACAAATTTCGTTCTATACAGCGTGATTCACAAGTCGTGACCAAAAGTGAAACATCATACGCAGGACCGGATTTTACGGGGGTTCTTCTATGTGACATTTTTTCCTCGAGGGTTTTATTGAAGAGACACGGGGTGTTTAAAAACCGTCAACTGGAGTGAACTGAAATTTGGATTGTGGAATCACCTAAGTTGTGGCAATACGTGCATAAACAGTTGGCCATTGGAAATGGCAGATATTTCTAGAAAGTCTGTGTTGAAACGAGTGGAGCCTTACTGAACGGGGATTTTCTAACTACCAAATATGTTCATTATGAGAATTGAAGGTTCCACTTCCCGTAAAAAGCGATTGATTTGACCGCAAAACCAGATCAATGAAATCTGCATTTTGATTATACATTTGCAGTTACCAGTCACAAAAATTTCTTATGCTTAAACTTCAACACCCCGTATCTTTTTAACGAAGCCCTCGAGAAGAAATGTTAAATAGAAGACTCCCCTTAAAATGCGGTCCGGTGTATGATGTTTAATTTTTGGTCACAACTTGTGATTTACCCTGTATATGCATGGTTTAAAATCAATACTTTTAAGAAATTTTAAATTTTTGTGGTTTTATTAGCGCTCACTGAGAATCTGGTATTTGTGCCTATAGATTTAAAAGAACCGTATAAGTAACGAGTGATTGTAGTTTAACTGATTTTCAGTTTCAGTTTATGCTTAAATTAAGCCAATGTATAAAGGCTGAATTACAAAAGGTACAAAAATACTACACAATAGCATAACAGTTATTCCAAAAACTGAACAAATTCTCGTTTCAATTTTCCTTTGAAGAAAACTAGGAGTAGCTCATAAAATTGCTAGTACACTGAGCGCACAAATTCATAAACAAATTTACCCTTACTGTTAGCTTTCCAACAAGGTATAAAGCATTGGATCATTAAGAAATAACAAAGTAAACTGATTCATTAAACCAACATTTTTTTACTATTTCTTAAGAAGTAGATGCTTTCACCCTGATCTCTTGTATCTTTTTTGGAAAGATGAGTATAGGGGCAAGATTTATGGTAAGTTGTAAGCTCAATATACATTCTAGCAATTTGTAGGACTAGACTGTTCGACAAACAAAAACTATTTCGCTTTTGCACCTTTTATGATTGTTTTAGTATACTAAGTGACCTATAAATCCGAACACCCAGTTTAAATGATTCTATTTTAATAAAAATTTGTATAAGTACTTAATGAAGCATAATAAGTAAATGATAAAAATTTCAAAATGATTGCACTGCTTTAAAGCCCTTGGACCTTTAATAATGTGTGGATGCACCCTGATGTGCTACGCATTCTCCAACGCGCCTAGGCATGCTTCTGATCAGGTGGTCAATGTCCTGTGGTATCTCATTCCAGTCAACCACCAACTCCTCTCGAAGTGCTTCTAGAGCCTGAGGAGGACGTTGCAAATTGAGCAATCTCCTACCCATCATATGCCACACGTGCTCAATTGGGGATAAGTCGGGAGATCTTGGTGGCCATGGTAACAATGTGAAATCATTATGTTGAAAGAAGTCTATTGTGACTCTTGCAACATGTGGTCGGGCATTATCTTGTTGGAAAGTTGGATCTGCCAGGGTGTCAGGATAGGGTAAAAGATGGGGTTCTAGAACTTCGTGGATATAACGCTGCGCGTTCATGTTACCTCTAATGAAGATTAAAGGTGACCTGGAACCATAAGCTATAGCACCCCAAACCATAACTCCAACAGTGTGATGAACATGTCTTTCAACAAAAAACTGTGGATTCCTCCTTTCACCACGTGGCCTTCTAACCCTGGCACGACCATCGTGCACGCCTAAACAAAATCGAGACTCGTCACTAAAGACAATACTGTTCCATTCCTGATCCCAGAGTGACCGTTGTCTGCACCACTCAAGGCGATTACGTCGGTGTTCTCGAGTTAAAGGGAGGACCCAGTGTGGACGGTATGAAAACAAGCCAAAACTTCTCATTCGTCGGTAAACACTTCGCATGCCAATAGGTCTTCCGTGTTCTGCAAACCATTCATTTGCAATGGACCTGGTAGTGGAGAAACGGTCCCTTAAGGCCAATAATCTTAGGCGGCGATCTTCACGGTCTGTTGTTCTACGGCGGCGTCCAGTGCCCCTTGCTCTTTGCGTACGGCCTTCTCGAAGCCATGCCTGACAATACCTAACCACAGTATCTACACTTCTTTGCACTCTAACTGCAATTGCCCGAAAAGAAAGTCCAGCTTCCCGAAGTCCCACTATACGGCCCCTATCAAACTCACTGAGTTGACGAAATCGTACAGGTCTCCGTACTCTAGGTATCGTAACCGATCGTAAAGGATGTCAAGAACCAAAATCCGCCAACGTTGATTCTTTACTGCGGCTGAAATATGCATTTTTAGAGCGTTAGCGAATTAAAAAAAAGCAGTATAAAAACCGGAATGTCCAACTGATAAGGCTGAAAATTTTTTCACTTGTTATTTACATTGACCGACTTTTATTGAAATAAAACCATTTATTGCCCAATTATGAGTAACTGTTAAAAAACACAGAAAGTGAAGAATTTTGAGTAATTCTGACTCTAAACCACACACATACTTGGTATCCAGAAATTGAAAGATAATCCTGAAGATGCAAATAGGTCACGTCATGAATACTATAGGGCAGAATTTGCTTTAATAAAAGTGTTTTTTTGTTGAACACTTGCAACCAGTTAATCCCCATTTGTACAAATAACATTTTTGGGCCTGGCTTTATTAGCATTTTATTTATAATAGCATATTTCTTTCTTGAGATGCGAGAAACCCACATAAGAATCATACCGAAGTCTAAATTTTAATGAAAATTCGTTCCCACATACGTAGACACCCCGTGGAGAATGAAATATGACCACTGTGCCAATTAGTCGGAAGAGTTGGTTGGTTATTGGTAGTTTTTAAATGATTTTACAGTTGTTGGCACTATTGGCCGTTATTTTGTCAATGGTTGTTATAATGGAGGAGAGTCAGTCCTGCCAAATATCAAGAAAGGCAAAAAAGTCAAGATTGAGGGTGAAGGATAATACTCGTATATGTTAAACTTATTGATGTAATAACAATAGTTATTATTATTACTATTATTATTATAATTATTCCAATGGAAAACAAGAGCATAGGAAACGTCACAAATAGAAATTTAAAGCATATACGGAGAGATTATGGAATAGGTACCACATATTCAAGAGTTTCACTTATATTATAAATGCTTTTGTTATTATATGGTGAATTTTCCTATATCTATTATGCTTTTTGAGCTTGCATCTAACTTATTATATATCTTAGTTGCAATATATTTTGCAAACTTTAAAAAGTGCCAAATGTGGGCACCATTTTATATGCCCTACATTCTTTCAAAAACATTTTTAACCTACTATAATAACCACTAATTTTGGAAGCCAATTTTGTTACCGTGCTCAGATTACTAATTCTTTGACGCAACTCCAATTTGAATCCAAGTGGATTCAGGTGCGGCAATTTTGGTGGCAGTGAAATAAGGCTACGGCACCAGATCCACCTTTAAGCATGTTAAGTGTTTGTCATTGAGGTTGTCTCAATCTGGCCGGATCTGGAATATTATCATAACGTTAATGTTGAGGTTGATTCAGAGACCTTACATACCAAGCTGACTTAAGTAAGTAACAAAATTATGTTCCAAAATTTAACCAGCCTCAACATTGTTAGTGGCTATTCTTGCAGGTTAAGAAACTGTTTTATGGCAAAATGTAGGGTATGTATAACAATTAGTGGTGCTTATAGGTATACTAATTATAAATCTAACATCAATAACAATCTTGTCCTTTCTTTGTTCCCAAGCCATAAAAATGCAATTTTTTGTGGAAACTGTATAGAAAATAAAGTAACAGCAGAGTGCGGATATCAATAACACCATTTAAAAATATCAATAGCCAAGCAACTTTTTTGACTGATTGACACAGTGATCATGATTGATTCTCTCACACTACAGTTGTCCATTACCTGTTTGCAGCTGCATGATTATCCCTTAATATATGGCCACCCTGTACATACAGAGTGAAATTATTTTTTGAGGTCCCATATAGCGCCCTGGAAGGAGCACGGCGACTCCGCGACCTACATATATCCACTTTTGTATATACAGGGTGTTAGGGAAATAGTATTCGTAACGAGGTGATTCCTCGCATTATTCTAACCAAAACAGTTCATTACAACCCACGTCCGAAAATTAACCTTTTCGGAGCAAAAAAAATGCTTATTTTAAGCCTTTTTAGTCATGAAATAAATTAATTTTGCAGCATAATAATTTAAGTTCATATGCCTATTAGCGTAAAATGTATCATCATAATTGTTGGAATTGGTGATGTGTATCGCCACGTACCGGTTAGTTCTGTCATTTTTTATTTAAGTAAATGTACTGTACTGAAAGCGTTATTAAATAAAAAATATAAGCCACAAAAAATTGTGTAAAAGTATTCAATAATTCTAGGCATATTTTAACAAAAATATCATACAAATGTAAACAATTCGATGAATCAGTTGCGGTCGTCGGGCGCTGGTATCGCGGTTGCGTTGCAGCGTTGCCAAATGTTTGAGAAAATTTAATTATTTACGACTCCCTTTCCTCGAAAACGATTCATTTTCGGACATAAGTTATAATGAACTTTTTTGCTTAGAACAATGCAAGGATCACCTCTTAAAGTAACGAATATTACTTCCTAACACCCTGTATACAGGGTTATAATTTCGCCTTAAGGATTGACGTAGCAATACAACTTATTCTCTTTGCAGATGCATTTTCGGTAGTAGCAAACTGGCAAAGACTAGTAAAATCCAATGCGGTAAATGATTCACAGAAGTTGAGATGCATACAAGGAATACGATTCTACAACATGTTACTGATCATACTCTGTCACACGTATTCCAGTTATATTGGAGGATACGTAAAAAACGTTGAGTACTTTGAAGAGGTAGTAGTATTATTATCATCACGCGTATTTTATTCACATACAAAGACCAAAACATTACGATTTTTAGGCGCAAAAGAGCATGATCCATCTATTCATGAGGAACCTCTTCGTATTTTTGGTGCAAACATTTTTTTTATTCTCTGCATTCCTGTTATCGTACCACCTCTTTCAAGTGATTGAGACAAGGAAATCCTTCAGTATCAAGTGTATCGTGTTGACGTTTGTGAACAGATATCTAAGGTATAATGTTATACGGAAGTTACATGACAAATACCTCTAAAGTAAACTGTTTTTCAGGATATTTCCTCCAGTTGTCTTAATGCTAGCATCTGGAGTAACCTTGTGGATTGTGTCATTTTTTCATGGCCCTATAAGGGATTTGTACTCAGACTTAGAATATCAAATGTGCAGAAAAAACTGGTGGACAACTCTATTTTTCATCAACAACCATTACAATTCACATGACATGGTGAGCACGCTATAAGTTCATTCTTGCATGTTCTCCAACTTTCCAGTTCTTTATTGCACCCTGGTTAAACATTGTATCTATGTTGTAGTGTTATTTCATCTCCTGGTACTTGTCTGCAGACACTCAGCTCTATATTCTATCGTTACTCATACTATCGCTGATATGGAAATTCCGGATCAGAGTTGACCGCATCCTGGGCATTTCATTTCTGATTGGAATACTGATACCAATTGGCATCAACTATATTTACAACTTGGATACTATCTATAGGATAACGCCTGAGTAAGTATTAATTATCTCCCGCCGGCCTGATAAGTAATCTTAGAATCTAAAGTTACAAACAGGTCGTTGCAATATCAAAGACTGGAGTATTAGTTGGGTTCCGGTGCCGCTGAGGCTACAAAACTTTAGGACTCCCATAATCTTAGTGACCTAAACCTAGTCTCTCAAGTTAGCTTAAGCTAGATTAGCAGTTAGTACTTTGGATGATTATTTTACTTAATACATTCATCTATTTTTTGAGCACTGATATCATAACCTGTCTTGTCTTTTATATTATGTATCCAACGAAGAAAGAGACCAAACCTAAGCATATTCACGTATACTCCACGTGATCGCGTTCCAGAACGCCGAGCACGTTACAGGGCCGTACTAAGAATAAATGATTTGTGGTTCTACGACACGATCAAAAAGTATGCAAAATTATTGCAGGCATGTATTATAGGGCCCACGTAAAGCTTGGAATTAATGTATTTTTTTAATTTAACTGTCATGACCAAAAAGAAAACAACTGTCTATGGTTGTTTTTAGTAGAAGTCTTTTATCGAGAGATTATACTCGAAATGTATTGTGAGGCGCATTTGTAAAGCAAGCTTTTAAAAAATGTCTTGACATATTACCGCTTGAACAGGGACGTCAAAGTGCAAACAGTTAATTTAAATATTAGTCTGAAAAATGAATAGATAGGTGGAGTTGAAAGAAGAAGGATTTGAATACATAATAATATATACTGAATATTATACAAAAATTGATTGCACAGACATTTTACCTCTAAAACCGGAAATACATATATTTGAAAATGAAAATCATTCTAGATCTGAGGCCGTGAAACTCCCACTGTCATCAAGATATATGATTGAAGGGGCAACGTGAGTATCAATGATACCGTCTAATTCCCACATTTTAGGTTTGACCTTTTTTGCCTGCTGATACATTTTCCCACTTATTCGGTGTTATTCTTTGTATAGCATCATGAAAAATATTTTTAAGGTCAGAACCTTTAAAACATTTATTTTCTGCTGCAACATATTTTTTATGCCTGCCCAAATGAACTCAATCGGATTGATCTCACAATGGTAAGGAGGCAGTCGTAAAACAGTTTTATTTTGTTTTTTGTCCACTTCATCAATTATGTTCAGGTTATATTTATTTTTATGCGTCTTGACAATTTGTAACAATTCTGCCTTAACCGTTTTATCATCATAATCAATATTTTCATTTTAAAGCCATGCTTGAATTTCTGATTTTTTTGTTGATGTTGGAATTTTTTCATGTGGAATGAAGCACTATCTAAACTATAACCCAATTATCTTCAAGCTTCGGTAGAGTGTTAAAGAAGCAATTTTCGAGCGAGGCTCCATCCATTTCTTCATGGTAGTCTCCCGTTTCTTTTGGATTCAAATGCCCGTAAAGCTTCGGACACAAATCCATCTTCATTGCGAATATGGCAAATTATCAATCACTTACCTTTTCCTAAAAATAATTCATCTTGGACACTTTAAAACCGTTCCCATTGAAAGCATTAGAAACCCAACAAAATTATTGCTTGATTTCTTATCTCGATATAGTTTAAGCATGTACAAAAACAAAACTAAAATATAATTTTAGTTGAAATTCCTCGTCTTACAAGTATTGAAAAATATGTAGGTGTCAGCTGTGCAAACAGTGTCCTGAACACTTGAGTCACTCCTTACTTGCAAATTAAACTGACAAATCTAATACCAGTATAAATCTGATGCCAACTCTGTACTGTACGGCCAGCCAGCGGGACAGCGGGCTTGATCACTGTTTTGGTTTAGTCTCTTTCGTCGATGCATACATAATAGTATTACTAATCGATTTGATTCTAATAAAAGACACAATTAATATAAATAATTCTTAGTACTAGTAAACGAAAGCTTGAAACATAGCACAACTGGGAGACTAATTATACAGGGTGTTTGGTACATGATCCAACAACATTTTTTTTTGTGACTGGGGACGCTATTTGATGATTTTTTTTGGAAACCGCAATGCTCTAAGTGCTACGGTTACCGAGATATGATCGTTTTTCGTTTATCGTTATAACTTTTTTGTTCAGAAGAGATGATGACACAAAATAAACGTGAGTCTATTCTGTAATGTATACTCAATCAGATTAGTTAAACAGTTCGTGCAAATCTTGTCAAACAAATGAGTTATGGCCTTCCAAAGTCGTACAATCACATGGAGCCGATACTCGTAAATACTTTCAAATTCGAAAACAAAAAACTATACCTTTATTTCTGGAACCTACTTTTTCTTACAAGATTTTTTTGAGTTATTGCTTTTCCAACGATATGCTACGCATCATAGAAATAATGTTTTGTGCGGTCAAAAAAAGAGATTGATGTTTTTGTAGGATTTTCCCAGTTTGTATTCAATTTGAACCAGTTACAAACTCTTCGAAATGTCTACCTCCACCTGTTGAGCACAATAATGTTAGCGAGTGCAGAGCAGTAGAAAGATCAGGTTTGGAATTCCTCTTATGCAAGGTGATTCGAATCTAATGGCATTCGATGCCAGGATGAACTACATCTCCTGTCTACCATAGTACGTATTAGGATTAATGTCAAAGGTTTAGAACAATTATTGTACTATTTTGATTTACAAAGTAAACAATTTTACTAAGAAGTGATTTAAAACGAATTATTACAAGTTTTTATAAACCACTACCATGAATGCCCGTTGTGATACATACACTTGATAGGTACCTGATCCAGGTACCGCAAGTCATTATCTGCAAATCAACTTTGATGTGGGGCATCCCGGACCGGACCTGTTAATTGCTTTCAAATTACTACCCTATCATAGATAGGGTATTTCGAGATTTGATTCTCTCTGCTATACTATAACTATCTAAAACTGTAATGACTCATCGATGTTCACGTGAACATCACTTAACTACCAGTAGTCGGCTGTTCATAGGCGGGGTATGAATGTTTAACATGGGTGAACTAGATTTGTCACATGCTTAATAAAGAGTGGTTTGAAACATATTGTAAGTCAAAAATTTGGGAATTACCTTTATTCATCGTCGCTTCCAGTTACATCTGACAGTAATAAACTGTCGCTATCGCTTTCCTCGTTGAAATTGACTATAACTGGCTCTATGATGGTGTCGATGTGGTGGTCAAGCTGCCACATTTTTGTTTTTTCCTTGACAACATGACGGATAGCATTCTGCCAAGCTTCGGGCGTTACTAGCTGTATGCAAGTCTCAAGTAAAACCTTAATGTCTGGTAATTTGAAGGTTGTGTTATGGCGCGCAATATAACTCTTCACTTGAGCCCAGATGAGCTCTATTGGGTTCAGTTCACAGAGTGGTAGGGCGGTAACCGCTGCACAGTGACACCACATTGACGGGCCATCTCATCAGTCACGCAACTAATGTTAGCAGGTTTGTGCTGTTTAATTTTTTCATACAATTCCGCTTTCACACATGAATCGTCAAACGGGATTCCTTTTTCGCGCAACCATTGCTGCATGTCACTTTTTCGAGATCCCATAGTCGGTACACGTTCGGCTCGACGACTATGGTAGGAAGCATTATCCATGACGATCACAGAGTTGGGCTCAACTCGCTGAAGCACCCCTTGAAACCAGCTCTCGAAGCAGCTGGCATTCATTTCGTCATGGTAATCACCTCCTTTCTTAGAGACGAAAATCAAGTCACACTCTTCTAAAAAGCCACTATCGCTACCAGTATGAGTTACGATCAATCTTTGACCTTTCCCTGACGGTCCACGAAGACCTGCTGACAAACCTTCAATGCTTGCTTGTCGGTTACTCACTACGTTTTTGTCTATCCAGGTTTTTTTAACTGTGTGACCTGCATTTACCCATGTCTCGTCCAAATAATAGATTTTTCTGCTTTGTCGCCTATATTCAATCATTTCGCGTAGGTATTTTCGACGCCAGGCGACTATTTCAGGTCTCTCTATCAATAATGACTTCCGATTACGCGTTTCGTAACGAAAATTAATTTCGTGCAGGGACTTCCTCATTACCTCGACGCTCATTTGGGGTATAATTTCATTTTCCTTGATCGCTGCATGTACAGCCTTGAGGGTTGGTATCTCATTCCTAAAGAAGAATGAGAAGAATGAATGTACGGTTCACCTTAACGCCATTTTGCTATCGTCATCCAATTTAACGCCCTTTCGTCCCTTCAAATTAAACTTTGGATCAGTAGTAGCTCCAGTTTTCTTCTTTTCATGCACCACCCTGCGAATGGTCAACTCTGGAACGCCTGTCATACTTTCACAACGCGCGAGTGCATCTTCCTGCGACATAGTTCTGTTCAGATAATTGAACACGTTGAGCACGATTTCTTTCGGGTCCCTCTTCAGTGCTTTACGAAGCCGTTTACTTGTTCCCTGGCTTTCAGTACTTCCACTCGTGCCATTTGTACTCTCCATGGTTAAGTATAACCAAAACAGTAACCACAGAAACCACAACAATAACAATCACACAACAATTCTTATAAAAACACACAATATGCGATCGCTCAACGAAACACGTTCCAATGCGTTGCCGACGCCTATGAGTCTGCCCGTCGAGGCGCGTCTTTGATTTCATTGGTTCTACCGGCGGAGAACAATCAGCCATTATTTCCATCTCTGTCTGTGCTGTTGACCACCGCAAAGCCACAGAAACGACATATGTCGTACGCTATACGGCTGCACTGGAAGGAAGCCGGGATCGAGCTCTGATCACATGTTGATCGCGTGTATGAGTCAGTACAGTTTTAAATAGTTGTAGTATATCAGAAGTATATTTTCATTTGATGTTGTTCGTTCGGTTTTTGTTGTTAGTGTTTTCACGTTTTATTGTAAGTTTGAACTGTTGTGGTTGCATCTGACTTATTGTTGTCATAATGCCGAATTTCACGAACAAGGAATATGCTGATGGGTTGCTGGCTTATGGCAGTGCTAACTGCAATTCACGTAAAGCACAAAGACTTTACCATCAGCGATATCCTATCACGAGACCTTCGCAACAACGTAGCGGCGGCTGAGGCAGACTGGAAACTTTAAACTTAAACTGGTCGACAATACAGTCTAACTGTTGATGATCAAATCCTAAGAGCATTTGTTGCGGACCCCACCATAAGTATTCGGGTTGTTTCTGCGTATACAGCCTGGTCTGTTTTACAGGCACATCGGAAGCATCTATTTCATTATTGTCCTGTCTAAGGTTATTTAATTTTATGTTATTCGATAATACGCAGTAACCTGTTCTCAAGAAATAAGAATATGAAACACCGAAACAAGAAATTCTTTGAAGAATGAAGGCTTTCACGGCTAATTCTAATGTCATTTAGGTTTTTAGGGCTGTTGAGTCAGGGTCGGGTTGGATTTGATCCAGAGCTTTCGGCATCTGCGGTAGTCATCTTCAGTGGCGCTGTCGGCGAGAGCGAAGTACTCGACCTGGCGGGCCGACTGAAACAGTGAAACTGGCCATTTTTTTTGTGAGGGGGGAATGCGTTTATGCACCATACCATAGCCCGAGTTACGGCGTGTGTGGGACTCCAGGTTGTCATGAGTAGTCCACCTATTACCCACTAAACCCTAACTTCCGCGTGGCCCGAGTCATCAGCGTCTCGGTAGGCCATGTGTTGTGCGTGACCTGCGGTCTGCTACAACGTCTCCCCATGTGTTTCAGTCTCTGGGAACGCCGGGTTGGTTCCCTTTACCTCGCACAGTTCTATCGATGTCGTTAAGCGAGCATCGATATAGGTTTGCTATGTTCTCTTGAAACTCTTGTTTTCGAAAAATCAAGAGTTTCAAGTCCTCTACTACTTGTATGTTACCTGGTCCTGGTTGGTCCTGGTCCTGATGGGTCCTGGTCATGATGGGTCCTGGTCCTGGTTCCACGTTTTGCCCTGTAGTCATTGCTGGTCTAATGCTTGTCTTGCATCTTGGCTTCGAGTGCATCCAGGCGGGTTATGATGGCTTGCATCATAGCTAGCAGTCTGTCATCGCCGTGTTGCTTCTGCGCCGTAGTTCCAGTAGCAGTGGCGGCTGCTAGGGCAGAAGTGGAGTTTGTTTCCTTCGCTTTGTCAGCGTAAGACGTCCTATTTGAGGTAGAGGCTGCTTTGGGGGCAGCAGCAGCTTTCCTCGGGGCCTTACTACATCCTTTGTAGTTGGCTGGGTGTCCTTCTCCGCAAAGGCAGCACTTGGCATTTCGTTGCCCTGTTGGCGGCATCGGCAGACTGCAGTTGGTGCTGTTGTGGTCCTCACCACACTTGACGCACCGTTCAGCAAGACGGCAATTTGGCTGCGTGTGCCCGTACCGCTAGCAGCGGTAGCATTGGCTGGGCTCGGTCGATCTCTTTTTCTTCTCGAAGCTGACCGTGAGCATGGCCAGCCTCTGGATCTCCTGCAGCTTTTCGGCCATCCGCGAATTCACGAGGAAGAGCGGTAGCGGCTGCTTGGTGTTCCTGGTCTTTATCTGTTGAACCTCGGCGTCTGCGATCCCTTGGCTCACTAGATCTTCTCTGATGTCTTCGGTAGACATCTCTCTGGTAAGTCCTCGAATCACCCTCTGGTCCAACTTATCCTCCTTCAGCTGGTAGGTAAATAAGGGCCTCTTCATTGCGTCTAGAAGGGTAACTAGCTGCCGGTAGTCTGCAGGTGTATTGGTAAACACCTTCACACTGTTTCCCGCCGTCCTTGCCTTGGAGAATTGAATTCCCTTATTGTTGATCGTCCTGCTTAAGGACGACCAATCTGCGGTGCCCTCAATGTTGATTGGTGGAACTCCTGTTCCTGACATGGGGGCTACGATGGTCCTGGCTTCTCTAGGACTCTTCTTCTGGGTGGCAGCTGGCTTCTTTGGCTGCCTGGGTGCATCGTCATCATCGGAGGAGGAAACCCTTACTCTTTTCTTCCGCCTGGTGACGACACTGTAGTCCGCGTCACTCTTGTCGGCTGACGTCTTCTGTTCTTCTGTGTCATCCTGTTGCTGGCTGTCCACTTCTTGGGCATCCATCACATTGTCCGATGTGGTCTTCTGGTCCTCGTCTTCTTCTTCTGCTAGGGTCTTCTTCGCCTTCCTCTTCGCCTTGAGGAGCTTCCCTTCGACTTCCTATATCTCCTGTTTTGCCTGCATGAAAGCTTCTTGCAGGTTCTTCATCTGCTCTGCAAGCATGGTGAAAGCATCCTCTTTCTGCTTTAGCTGGCTTGTCTGCTTCTCGATTCTCGCCATCGTAGATAGCAATCGTATCGCGATGAAAATCGCAATAAGATCGCACAGTAAGTCCGGGTGGGTGGCAGTCGCACAAGTGTACACTCGCAACGGCTGCTAGCTCGGGGGGATCGATCATATGGAAGGGCGGTTTTATAGGCGATCCTCGGACTGAAGAGGCGGTGGGGGGTGGGGGTACTCTGAGACACTTGAGTGACGTGGTTTTTGTGCTGTGTTTTTTAGAATTGGGAACCACGTTTTTTTTTAAGCAAGGCCTTCTTCTGTTGAAGGTATCATTGTGTTTGTACATTTCAATTGCTTCTCTGTACATTCGGGCTGAGTAGTGGGTGGATGTTGTTAAGACTTCAGTTTGGTCAAACAGAACATTGTGGCCGTTTTGGAGTGCGTGTTCGGCCATCGCTGATTTATTAGTTTGTCACAGTCGACAGTTTCTTTCATGCTCCTTAATGCGTGTTTGAAAGCTGAGTGACACAAGAGATTCTTTGTTCCTGAACTTTATCAACCGTTCTCTTCTTTTGACCGCACGACATATTATTTCTATGATGTTTAGCATATCGTTGGAAAGGCAATAAGTCACAGAAGCTTTGTAAGTAAAGCTAGGTTTCATATTCGAATTTGAAACCATTTATACACTCCACGTGATTGTATCACTTCGGAAGGTCATAAATCATTCGTTTGAGAAGATTTGCACGAACCGTTTATCTGATCTGATTGAGTTTACATTACAGAACAAACACTCATTAATTTTGTCATTACCTCTAGAAACTAAAAAGTTATAACGATATTTATGCGCAATTGTAGGTAATTCGACAAAAGAAAAGAAAATATGTCATATCTCGGTAACCGTAGCCCTTAGAGCACTGCGGTTTCCATCAAAAATCATCAAATACCGTCCTCAATTGCCCAAACAATTTTGTTGGTTCATGTACCATAATGATAAGAGTGTCAAGATTATATCTGAAGTTATCTTCGTGCAATGCGTACACTCCAAGCGCTAATAATTACTTACAATTTGTTACCTACAGCGAATGTAAAATAATATAATAATTTTTTAGGAACTCTAAAAATAACCAATTCAGATCTTCCAACTTCAGCGTAACATATACTTCAATGTACGCAAACATGGCTACATACATGCTTGGTTTATCTTTTGGATACGTACACTTGAAAGTAAACAACTATCGTTGGTTTCCCTTGATGGTAACGTTAACTCAAGAATACTCTTGTACACATCTTGCAACCATTTTATTAATTTTAGGTCCATAAAATATGCTGGTGGTTGCTATTTCTAGGCCTTCCAGTAACTATGGTTTTAATATCTTCGTATTATTACAACAGAGTCTTGAGTGCCTTACTTTGTGGACTATTGAAACCTTTATATGCGCTAGGTGTTGGTGTAGGTGTCTTAGGAATGTCAAAAAATCTTGGAGGTAAGGATATAGCAAGATGTTAATTGGATCTAACTAACGATTCCCGCTATAAGCAATAAGCGTCACGGACTAACAGCTATGCGACATTTTTCGACATATCCTTTCATACTGGATGAAAATGGAAATAACTAGATGCAGCGATAGACTTATCTGCGATGAATGTAGCACACTTCTCGCATCTAGGTTTGGGGAGTCACGAACTAATTTAATTAGATTTCTTAATTTGGAGAGTTGTGAAGCTAGACTGTAGGGCAAAAAATCGCGAAAATTTGGTTGTTATGATCATTCACGTAATTCTCTGAATAGAAGGGAAAAACTGAAGTTCTGTGAAATGCCTTGCTTAAGGACCGTCCTCACAACTGTAGGACGCCTTCATGGCCTCCTTGATGAAAAGTTTTTCTATTGTCTCGATCTACTTTGAGGTTATGTTACAAGTATCTGCATCAAATTTTTCGTGATTTTGATTTATATTACGTATATATGTTATATCAGCCTGAAATTTCCTACACGTCAACAAGAAGATACCCTCACAACAGGAGAACGCTGAAGCTGTCGCGGAACAGTAGAAATCTAGAAATACCCCAGCGTTTCTGAAGGAGAGAAAAGAGTATGGAAATCAAGGAGGCCATAAAGGCATTCTACAGTTGTAGGAACGACTGTCGATACGGCCCTAAAGAATAGCTCATTCTTCAGAGTTTTAAAAAAGGGAACTTTCTATATTTAAATAAAAGCAAGCTATCGGCAGAAATGTTCGGACTGACTTAAGTGGCGGACGGTTTGTTTGTAACGCAAAAACAGGCACCCATGACGGTTATCTTTTATCTGGATCGTGGCTATATCATTCAAAGACAACAGATAAACAAAAAGGACAGTTGTTTTGAGTCAGCAAACGCAATTGCACAGCAACCCTTTGCTGGATTACACAGTCGAGGAGATACGGAAACATTCTTTCAAAAATATTGTTTTAAGTACCAAGAACCCAAAGTTCAATGGAATTATCATCAACACATACAACTTACAGTTTAGACCTTCAGTAATGTCATCTCTGAAGCAGATTTTACATCACATCAGAGCCAAACATTGATAACTGAAGCCTCATGACCTTTAGACAACACGTACAACTAAGTGCTAGGTTAACATCTTGTAGAAAAACCTACATAATGTCAAAAATAACCAGTATAATGTCAAAAATCGGTGTAACGTCACTGTTCAAGATACGCCATAGAAGTGCCGGTTTTGTTGTGTTGCTTATGAAGGCATAGTTACTCAGTAGATGTAGAGTAAAATACCGACACAAACAATCATGTACGGTCAGCTTTTTTACTATCAGGTTGACATTACCCTTGAGTTTCTTCCATACGACGTCGCCAGCATACCTAACTAAATTGACCCTTTGGAATATGTGGCAGCTCCTCGACGTGGCGTCTGATGTCAAAATCGATATTTCAATACGTATGCAGCATCGCATCCCGGTAAGGAAGGATGCTTAGTACTAAAAATGAAAACTAATCATAGTACAGTCTTAAAACGTTCTTAAAATATTTTCGACCAAATGGGTACGTTCATTATTAGTATTATATTTTAGGGATCGCCAAATCGATTTGTGAGTGGCAAATAGCAACATTCTTGGGAAACTTCACTTACAGTACTTACCTTGTGCATTATGGTATAGTGTTTTACAGAACTGCTACGGCGAAAGAACCTATGCTGATTTCAAACTATATATTGGTAAGCAAAAAAACTAGTTACCCCCCTAGCTTTAATTGAAAAATGTTTATTAAATATTTGTAGCGACAGATTTTTTTATATTTCATAAATATATTTCTTATGTATTCACAAAATATTCATTATAGACATTTGTTGTATATACAAGGTGTTTCAGAACTAAGGGATCTAGGGGTTACTCAGTGTAATAGTAGAAAACTTTTGAGTATCCGGAAAAGTGTCACTACGGCTCTAAGGCCCTAAGACGCGTTAAAATTTAGAAAGGCGATAAATTGCCTAAATCGGATTTAATGCATTTAATTTTTGCCTTTTGTACATACATGATATCACCACCACAATTGTTCAAAATGTCTTCCTCCAACCTGAATACACCGATTTAAACGTCGCACATGATTTCGGCGGACTTGACTAAAAATTTGATACTCGTTTTGAATCATTTAAAATGCTACTGTAATTCGTCCAATTAAGTCTTGCTCTGTTTCTACTGGAGTTTCGTAAACCAAAGACTTTACATGTCCCCACAGTAACGGTGTATTCCGGTTGGAGGAAGACATTTTGAACAATTGTTGTGATGATATCATGTACAAAAGACAAAAATTAAATGCATTAAAAACTATTTAGGAAATTCATCGTCTTTCTAAATTTTAACACGTCTTAGGGCCGTAGTGCCGTAGTGACACTTTTCCGGAGATGGGTCCCTATACTCAAATGTTTTCTACTGTTACAGTCAATAACCCCTACAAGTTTGATCCCATAGTTCTGTAACACCTTGTATAATTCATATGTATATTTTTGCGATATTTCTTCCAAATAGAAAATATATGAGGCAATATTTTTTAATTTTAATTTTATATTTTGATGAACTATCAATACTTTTCGTAAATACATATGTATGGTTTTTCAAGCTTTAATCTGATACACAAATTCAGTGTATTATACAAACAGGGTGGCGCATCGAAAACGAAACAGACGCATTTACTGGCACTTAATTTTTTTTGGAAAAACGCTCAGACCCGTCGATTTTGTTTTCGAGGGGGACACAAGTTTGGCAAAAAATCACGTTAACACGTGCAGCCCCCTGGGCTGGGGTGACACCAACCCTAAAATTTTAAATGGAAAGGAGGGTCGAGTGATACCTTATTTTAAAGGTCTTTTAATTCCCTTTATAACGATATAAAATTAATGTACTTCAGTTCAGTAGTTTTGAAGATTTATTGATTTAACTCTTTCAAGGGCGATGGTATATAAAATAAACCACCTCAAAGCATGCTTTAATGAGGCGGTGGTACATATTTAGCACCACTGCTAAAAATTTCATTTACAGAGCGAGCATCGGTTCATTCCATGAACCACCGCTCAAAGTAAGTTGTTCACGTGTCTATAAAAGAGCGCATGCACCGACAATAGCGCGGGAGTTCGGAATACCGCATGCAAAAGCAAATTAAGGTTATGATTCATTAGTCAAGAATATATACCAGCTGTGAGTGGAGAAACACTAAAAAAGTAAGTAACATTGTATGATTTCGATGTAATTATCTTATTAAAGTTGTTTTGTTATGATTTTATCCTATATTTAATTGAAAAAAAACCTCTATCGTTTTATATTTACTGGTACTCAATGCGTACCACCGCACACATTACGTTTTTATTTTACACCCTATTTTTTTTTTTATTTTCAGACTTACAACATGTCTGACTTGCCATTTAAACTAGTCGATATGACGGAAGGTGAATTATACGCCGAACTCGAAAACATTTATTCAGAAATGGAACAAAGTCGTATAAACGGTGAAGAAATTCCATCTGATTGTGAATCGTTAGCCAGTAGCAGAGACGACCAAGAAAGTGATACAGAAACTACTATTAGAAGCAACGTGTTGATATGTTCATATAGTGACTCAGAAGATGATATACCTTTGTCAACTATCGCTGGAAAACTGCAGCTAGCTTCATCTGCCTCATCAGTTGGAAGAAAGTCTCCAGTTTGGTCTAATGTGAAAACTCCTACACCACCTCCAGATTTTACTGCGCATTCTGGTCTAGCAGATTGTGTAACGAATATGACAGATCCAACACCGTACAAATTATTTCAATTATTTTTTTCTGACTCCTTGATAGAAAGTATTGTTTTTAAAACGAACCTGTATGCTCAACAACAGTTCAGCAAGCATAAACCAACTGATGTTCGTGAAATTAAAACATTTTTGGGGTTAAATTTACTTATGGGCATAAAGCGCCTTCCAAGTTATAGGGACCATTGGTCTCGCGCGCCAGATCTACATGACTCTTATGTCAGTAATCTAATGTCGGTAAAGCGATTTAGTTGGTTGCTTGGAAATATTCACTTGAATGACAATTCATTGATGGCAAAAAAAGGCGAAGCCAATTACGACAAGCTGTACAAAGGAAGGCCATTGTTGAACCGTATGTCAGAGGCATTTGGAAAATGTATGCTGCCAAGTCGTGAAGTTGTCATAGATGAATCCATGATAAAATTCAAAGGGAGAAGTTCTCTCAAACAATATATGCCAAAAAAACCTACTAAAAGGGGATACAAAGTGTGGATGTTGGCTGATAAAAATGGGTACTGTCTAAAATTTGATATTTATACAGGAAAACCTAGTGGGGATGTCGAGAAAAACTTGGGCTCAAGAATTGTGAAACAGCTATGCGAGGGTCTCGAAAATAAAAATCACTTGGTCTATTTTGACAATTTTTTCAACGGAGTCGAGCTAATGGAAGATCTAAAAAATATGCAGATACATGCCTGTGGTACTGTTAATTCTTCTAGGCGGAATATTCCGAAGTTCAAATCAGATAAGAACATGAAAAGAGGTGATATCGAGTGGTTTACAAGCAATAGTGATTTGTCTGTTATTAAATGGAAGGACAAGCGTTCCGTTTTTCTCCTGTCTAACTTCCATGACCCACGTGATACTCTTGAAGTGAACCGAAAAGAAAAGAATGGATCAATTACCAAAGTGCCTTGTCCAAAAGCCCTTTCTGATTACAATGCCAATATGAATTTTGTCGACAAGTTCGACCAAAATCTTACTTCCTACAAAATAGATCGAAAAAGCCATAAATGGTGGCATCGCATTTTCTTTTTTTTCCTGGATGCTGCTGTTGTTAATGCATTTGTATTATATAAGGAGTTACAGCTACCCACACTTTCTATGAAAGATTTCCGAAGAGGTATAATACAAGGTCTTGTTGTACAACAACTGGTAGATAGAAAAAGATCTTCTTTGTCAACCTTTGAAACTGTTGCCATAAAAAAAAACAAACCATATGTTTCTGAAGAAATTCGATTTGAAGGTTCATCTCATCAACCTGAACGCGGTACTCGACGTCGGTGTGCTTACTGTAGCACTAAAAAAAAAACAAGTAAGAACGGACTGGGTATGCAGCGTTTGCAATGTGCCTCTTTGTTTAAATAAAAATAAAACCTGTTTCCAGGACTTTCACAGAAATAAATAGGAATAGGGCGGTGATACATATATAGCACCACTTATTTTTTGCCAAATATATGAAAAATTCCATGTAAAAATAAAAAATATGAAAAGCTTTGAGTATTATTTATATCCTCAAATAGCATTTTATGTGAAAAACAAGTAATAAAAAAAAATTTTTTTTGTGCCCAAATAGAGAATAAATTTTATAAAGTAGTTTGCCCCTGAAAGAGTTAAAGCTTAAGGTAGACTTTAATAGGTACATCAGATTAGTTTGTACTACTTTCATAAGAAATTTGACTAAAAGAATTGATTTACTTAATAAGTAAATGATTTTCTTCACTACGCCCATGGTTTGTTTATCATTTTGTTGTTGAAAATAGCTATTAGAGCGTTTTTTGTGGCAAAAAAGTTATTTCTTGAAGAAAGATAAGTAAATATCTCGTACTTATTTTAAATAGGAATTTAGAACATAGTTTGAGATTGATTTGACCAAACTTTGTTGCTAAAATAACTTGTAACGCGTTATTACATAAATTAACCATGGTATATTCCACAGCAGAACGAGTTGAAATTATCGAAATATCTTTCGGAAATAATCAGTGCGCTAATAGAACAGCAGAAATATTGAATGAGCGACATGAGAACAGTAACGTGCATCGAAAATATGTTCTAGAACTTGTAGCTAAATTTCGGGAAACTAGGCCAGTCGCCAATAAAAAAACAACATTGAAAATTACATAAGGAACGAAGCAATAGAAGTGGGGGTTTTAGGGCAAGTTTATGTAGATCCTACGTTAAGTACCCGCAAATTGGAGACTGTGTGTGGTGTTAGTCGATGTACTGGCCAACGGATTCTAAAGGCTCATAGTTTTCATCCGTATAAAAGTCACCTGGTACAAGAATTTAATGAAGACGATTTTGATCGGCGATTTCAATTTTGTGAAGATATGAGCGAACGAATTATAAACGATGAACATTTTCTATTCAACACTTGCTTTTCCGACGAATGTTCCTTTTTCTTAGATGGCGTAGTTCCAACAGGATGGTGGCCCACCACATTATGCATTACGTGTTCGACAATATTTATATGAGGCGTTTCCAGATCGATGGCTTGGTAGAAGAGGTACCACTGAATGGCCCCAAAGATCGCCAGATTTATAACCTTTGGATTTCTTTATGTGGGGTCATTTAAAAAGCAAAATCTATGCTACTCAGCCAACATCATTAGAAGACCTGCGACAATGAATTGTGAATGAGTAAACTACTCCTCAAATATTGCAAAATGTGCGGCAACGTTTTGACCAAAATCTTTATTATTGCATAGAGAGTCATGGTGGCCATTTTTAACATTTACTTGCCTAACGGGTCAGTTCATTCTTCATTTTTAAATTACTTTGCTTCCAAATGTATTGATCTCCACTAATGATGATGTATTAGTTTGATTTAAGCTTTACATCAATAAATCTTCAAAACTACTGAACTAAAGTACATTAATTTTATATCATTATCTAGGGAATTGGAAGACCTTTAAAACAAGGTATCACTCGACCCCCCTTTCCATTTAAGATTTTGGGGGTGGTGTCACCACCGCTTAGGGGGCTGCACGTGCTAACGTGATTTTTGGCCAAACTTGTGTCCCCCTCGAAAACAAAATCGATGGGTCTGAGCGATTTTAAAAAAAAACTGAGCTGCTAGTAAATCCGTCTGTTTCGTTTTCGATGCGCCACCCTGTACAGAAAACTCTTCATTGGTTATTTTAGAAAAATCTTTAGGTATGCTTTTATAAAATTGAGGTTATAAAGAAAATTCATTCTAGATATAATGGTTTAATTTCCTAGAAAAATATTAATAAGAAAAACCTTCTAAGCCTCTTCTGCATCTTGCAAATCGACTCCTGAAAAAAAAACTTACTAGTTATGAAGCCTTTATTGAATACATAAGCTGTGTTCTAGTGGTCTTTTGTTTGAGAGAGAGAGATTCTCCCGAACTACTCTAGAAAGGGTATTTATGGGAATATAAAATGCAGTGGAAGAGTATTGGTGCTGAGCACTGCTGAGTTACTCCGAGTAGCTCAACCAGGTCACAGCTCTATAATGCACCTAAAAGGACCCCACATTTTCTTTCTGTGAGAGTTTGAGATTTGGTTAATTTTTAAGAAAGATTGGTATGTTATTTTAGATGTCTTGATGAAAAATATCCATTCGCACAAGTTGATCCTTTGACTAACTTTCAAAGAAAAGGTTTTTAAAAATAGATCACTTATTGATTTTGTTGAATTGTGACTTTTTGCAGGAGTAAGGGGGCCAATTTAGACAAAACTATCTTGCGATTTTGTATTATAATTCAAGAGACAAATATATAGTATTTTGGACAGTTAAAATTTTGGAACGTCGCAGTTGAACTTAAAAATTTAAAGTTACAGCTGATTTGCCCCCTACTACAAAAATAATAATAATAAATGAGATATTTAAGATAAGCATTTTTGGTGTATCTCGATCATGTTGCGATTATATGACTTTGGGATGTTGTGAATATAATCTTCGTATTCATTTTCAGATAAGTCCTCAAATCCAGAATCGTAAATAACTGTTACACTTCAAGGCTAGTTATTTATGGTCTTGTAAATACCTTTATACTCAACTGGCACAATAATGCTTACTAGTAAGATAAATTGAGCTACGTAATGATCGAAAAACTTACCCTTTTCCACGAAAAGGCATTCAAAAAATGTACCACTTGGAGGTACACAGGAAACACGTTATCATAGTGAGACTCACAGGCAAAATGGATGTCGGCTCAGGTCGGCTTGCCATTATGCCGTTGGTCGCTCGGGGCCACACGCACATGCGCCGTAGCCGAAAATATTTAATGAATATTTTTCAAATAATGGAGATTTAATATTTTACATTGATTGAAAACTAAATATTTAATGAATATTATAAAAGAAATATTGTATTAAAAATATTTAAAAGATATTGAATAAATATTTAATGAAAATTTCGTGCTATCCGGCTAGTAATAATACTTTCGTCCATCCGACCACAGACGGCCAACCATGGACAGATATTTCATGCTTTTTGGAAACTCATCAGCATGGCCAAGATGTGGTCCTTAATTATGACAACGAACGAAAGCTGAGCAACTATCCCCTTACCATGATATAAAGTCTATGTTTTTTGATCGTCGTTGAGTCTATCGCAACATGACAGCGCCAAGTAGCAGAATCCCCCACTGTCAGTTGCCCAGCTTTCGTTCGTTGGCCGTCTGTGATCGGACAGATGAAAGCACTATTAATAGTTTGTTCAATATTGAGTAGACCGTATGTACTATACCGGGAGAATCGACAGCATCTCCATTGACGACATTGCTGTCAAATGTGAACTGGAATACAGTTCTAACTTACAACTTGCTGTTTTTTTCTCGCAGTGCTCCTTTCTAGTGCTGTCTCATTTCAATGAAATAGTTACCTGAATAATGTATGCAAAGCTTCAGGCTTCACTGGTTTTTGATACTGTGTTGCAATCATTGCTATTTGGAATTTTTGTTTAAGGTAACATCGTTTATTAGCGACGCTATTTCATCATTGATTATGGGGTTCCTTATGCACATTCTGGTGGAACTTCCAGCAATTAGGATACAGAAATTAGTTGTGCCGCAAGTCAGGGTGCAGAAGAGCCAGTGAGGATAGTATTAACATTTTATGTATAGCTTGATTCTCTTTATTGTGACGACAAGAAATCATATAGCTATTTTTACCAATATGTTTATAACTCAGTTTAAAGTGTGGTTGTTTAGGAGAGAAAATGTAAGAATTTTTAAAGTTTAATTGTCGGTACCGATTTTGAACAATTTTTTTGTGTGAACATAGTACCGGTACAAATGTACTGGTGGACATAGCAAGTTACAAAAAAATATCACTTTGATGTTATTGCAGATATATTATATCTTCTACTTATGCTTTTATCAATGAAGCATAAATAGGAACATACATTGTTATTTAAGAAACTCAACCATAAATTGTTTTGAATTGATACCTTTTTTAAGACTTAATCCCGTGAACTTGTTTTTCTCTTCTAACACTTAAATGTCTTAGTTAACCCTCCAATTCCCAAGATACCCTAAGGGGAACAATTTCCAATATTTTTTTCAAAAATTCCGCTTTAAGTTCAAGTCGATAATTTTCATCACCGAGATGAAAGGAGAGATCGATTACAGGAAAAAAAAATGTTATGAATCTCTTTAGATTGGTAGAAACATGATATAACGTGGTTTGTATTTGTTCTCTTGGCCGTATTTCGTGAAATTTTAGACTGGCTTCTATTTTTGCTTACCATGGAAACAAAATGGTAGGTACGCATTATCCATATTACGATGTGTAATCGCATTTTTGTTCAACTGATCAAATTATTAAATGTAATTACACTTGATATATCAAGTTTCCTTCAGGGGACTCTGGGCACGGAGAGCACTAAACTTGGATCTAAGTAGTTATTTTTATTGAAACATGACTAGATTTCAGATATATTTGCTGTAAATAAACACTTAGTCGCAAATGAAATTTGGAATAACAAAAAATAATTGTACATTATGTAATGAAATTTATTATAACATCAGAAGCAAAAACAAAAACCAGGGATAAGAAGCTATATTTTTTGAACTAATGATAAAATTTATTATATATATATATATATATATAAAGTTCATAATTGTAAAATTATTGTACTCCGTCCTATTCATTCACTTCAAAATCCCAGGGTGGCCCATCCATGTGTGGACGGAATATTACTCATAAATAAAAACATTTTGGGAAAATATATTTACGGCGTGTTATACATGACACTTGGGGGCACATTTCTAAAATATTGGCAATTATACAGGGTGTCCCAATTTTGTCCTACATAGCAAAGTTGTGATTTTTTAAATGGAATGCCTCAAATTTTATTACATATTTGGATAAGCCAATTCAAAAGAAGAAGATTGATATTACATACTATGGGGTTTTGGTAATTAGCTACTGAGATGTAAGGTGTTTTGTCAGGAAAGACCGTCCACTTCGGCAACCTATCAATCCGCCATTTTGAAATTTGGAGTGCTGAGTTTTGTATCAAAAAAAACTAACATACCTCAGCTTTTATCTTATATGTAACTTTTTCGAAGTTTTATTTTTGCTCATACAGGGTGGACAAAAACGCGAATTGTAGTTTTGCTCAAAAATTTCAAATGCACCACCCTGTATATTTGTTCAGATTTGGATTCAATTTTTCATAAGCTTTTTTTGGTGTAAGGTTTAGTTCAGATAAAATCATTAGATTTTGGGTTATTAAGCTTTTAATAGAACAATACACCAAAATTAAGGAAAAAAAACCACATCATCTATGGAAACAAAAGACAAACAGTTCCATATTGCCACTAAGGCCCGTATCGTCAGTCGTTCCTACAATTGTAGGACGCCTTTATGGCCTCCTTGATTGTTATACTCCTTTCTCTCCTTCAAAAATTTCTAGATTACACCTGTTCTGTGTCAGCGTCAGCGCTCTCGTATTGTGAAGATGTTTTCTTTTTAAATTGTAGGAAATTTCAGGCTGATAAAACATGATATAACTCAAAAGCATGCACAATTTGATGCAAATAGATATTTATGTTATAACCTCAAAATAGAGCGCTGACACGGAAAAGCATAAAACTATGAAAATCGAGGAGGCCATAAAGGCGGCCTACAATTGCAGGAACGACTGACGATACGGGCCTAAGAGTACAGATTTGACGTTAAAACTAATAACAATCAGAACAGTATGAATCAGCTTCAAGCGTAATAGAGAAAAATAACTATAACAACAACATAAACAAACAACTATTACTACTCAAGACCTACTCTAAAAAAAATCTCCACCATGTTGAATACACAGCCGTAGTCTTTGGATAAATGACCGTTGCACATCCCTCAGCATGCGTTCCCTTATGTTCAGAAAAACACCCTTAATCCTTTCCTTCATATTTTCCGGGGTAGATGGTGGATATCTATAAACCTCTTGCTTAACGTTGCCCCATTGATAGAAGTCAATCGGTGTCATATATCTGGTGATCCAGGACGCCAAGATATAGACCGATTACGACCGATCCAACGATTGTTACTCAGGTTGTTACAGGTGTCCAAATAGTTACGCACACGATTATGATAATGCGCAGGTGCGCCGTCATGTTGGAAGTACATATGCATCCGAGTTTGCAGGTTGACATCCTCCAAAAGCAAAGGCAAATGCTCGATCAAAAAAATCAAGTATTCTGTACCTGTCTGTTGTCGAAAAAGAAAGGCCCGATAATATGTCTGCCAATAACTCCTCCCCAAACATTCAAGCTCCATTTATTTTGAAAATCTATTTGACTAACCCCGCAAGGGTTTTCCGTCGCATGATAGTGCATGTTATGCCTGTTAACAGTTGCCTCATCGCTAAAAAGAACCTTATCCAGGAAAGTAGTGTCTTCAGTCACTTTATTTAGCATTTTTCTACTAAACCCCATTCGAGCTGCGAAATCCTGAGGACGAAGGCATTGATGCAAGAATAGGTGATGATATGGATGGTACCTATGCTTGCGAATAATCCTTTGGACAGAAGTTCTGCATATATCAGTTTCTGCTCCCATTTGCCGTGCACTTAAATGGGTATTTTCCTGCACCTTTAATAGAACTGAACAACTGATTCGCCTCATTGATGACACGTAGTGTGGAAAATGTTTCCGACCTTGCATGTCGGATATTAGGGTACCGTTGCTCGATGCTAGGAAACTATATCTTTGGGCGTCGCCCAAAACGAACACCATATTCATAATTTCTTCATTAGAAGAATTCATTTTCAATCACGTTTTATTATAATGCTCACAAAGCTAATTTTGGCAGTTTGTAACTAATCCACAATTTATTTTGGATGATGCGATATTTTAGGGAATTAAGCTGTTCCATAAAAGACCTGCTAAAAACCGAAAAAATAGCCGTAAAAACCCTTATGTATCCTAATATCAGAAAAAAGCTTATAAAAAATTGACCACGCTGAATGAACAAAAATTAAAATTCGAAAAAGTAACAAATAAGATAAAAGCTGAGGTGTGTAAGTTTTTTTTGACACGAAATTCAGCACTCCAAATTTCAAAATGGCGGACTGAGGGGTGGCCGAAATGGGGGTTTTTCTAGACAAAACACCATCTCAGTAGCTAATTACCAAAACCCCATAGTACTTTACATCAATCTTCTTCTTTTGAATTGGTTTATGCAAATTTGAAATAAAATTTGAGGCATTCCATTTAAAAAATCACAACTATGATATATAGGTCAAAATTGGGGCACCCTGTATAATTGCCAATATTTTAGGAATGTGCCCTCAGGTGGCCTGTATAACATGCCATAAATAGATGTTCCCAAAATGTACTTGTTTATGAGTAATATTCCGTCCACATATGGATGGGCGACCCTGTATATAACCCATAATAACCAATAGATCATTAGAATAAATATGAGCCGACCTATTGGATTGGAGAGTTGAGGGTTTACCGAAATGTTGTATGATTATGGACCAATATAAAAAATGACACTTTCACACACTTACCTGCTGTTTTTTTTATATAAGATTGAATGAAATGACTTAAAAAACTGCTATAATATTACAAGAACTTTCGAACACTGTCATACGACCCCCATACATAAAATATCCTAATAATAAAAATATAAATTACACTTCAACTAAAAAACAAGCTAAGTAACGCATCAGAGGAAATATGTCAACTTTCAACAAAGTATCATTAACTCAATGTTTACACTGTATTTAATTAGTTATTCTACTTGAAGATACTTTTAACGCATGGCCTTCGAATATTCTTACTTAATTGTTCAAATATTTGTTAATTACTGAATGATATTGTATACAAGCAACATTAAGCGTATTAACATAGCCTTCTTCATTGGAAACAAACATATTTGAAAACACTATTTCCCTAGAGGCCGTTGCCAAAAAGTATCATTAAATAATTGTTTATAGAACCTTTGCCTGAAAAATGTCACTCATAAGCCGTTTATGCTTAATACCTTATAGGACAAATATTTCGTGTTGTATATAAAATACATATTATTATCTAGAGATTGATTTCAATATATCACATTACATACTTGCATTGAACATCAAACATTCGATTGCAGCTGATTACCTCAAATTTATATCTTGCGCATATTATAACAGGTTTCAGCCATTAGCTAGGAAAAAGCCGTGAATACTCGAAGCACATTGATCATAGATCTGAAAGACTGAGAATACAAAGTCTTACAAAACACAAAGCTCGTCTTTTAGTTTTGAATGTCAAGGTACCATTGACATTTAGAACTCTACATGCAACAAGCAATGTTGTTTGTAAAACTTTGTTACACAAAATTAGCTACAGAAAATGTTTAGCAAGCAAGAGGTTACCCCTCAAAATTCTAATTATTGCTTGTCATAGCGTGAAGAGCATATATAGCCGAATCTGACCACAATAAGGAAGTCAGAATCGTTCCATGTAAAGTTTTAGATATGATAAAGGCAACGAACAATGTTGTTGGCTGTAGTCAGTCTTACCAAAGGAAAATTTGAGATAAGCATTGCACAATTATCCTAAAGTGTTTATCCACCGTTTTTCCATTCCTTGACCGTAAGTACCTCTGCAAATGAGAAGTAAATTGACGCAACATAATGCTAAATTATTCTTCCTACGACCAGATTTTTGTCTAATTGATTTGTCCCACATAAAAAGCATTCTATCATATAAATTTTGCAACAACCACTTTTACAACCTTTTCTCAGTATCACAATTTATTTGAATCCAGGCAAGTAGATATCCCCAACTTAGGTAGGTAGGACGACAAGGTAGAATTTAATTAATTATATGAGGTCCACCATGCAAACATTGCAAATTAATCAACACTCATGTATTTGAAACAAAAACTGATAGAAAACATTACAATGAACCATTAAAATTATTTTCATATATTTAAACTGATCAACCACTATTTATTATATTCTGAACGCTCTGTAAGTGCCATAACAGAGCCCGTCTCCTCTACCATGCAATTCGGCCAACTAAGATTCCTGGAAAATATTTAAGTAGGCTGTGCACGACCGGTTTTGTTTTTACATCCAGTGCGCGCAGCGTCTATGAGGGTTTATGAATTAAAAAGGTTAGAATTTAGAATAATTTGCCTAACGATTTCGGATGTAGCGGTCTTTTTAATAACCATAAAATTTATTGTTATTATAAGAAGTCTAATTATCTGTAGTATCGCGTGTGTGTGTGTTTGTGTGTGGGTACAGTTTCATAGACAGACATTGAAACTTTTTGTGATGTGTTGAAGTCCAGCATCTTGAGGCAAAGCATAGAGTCGCAGATTCCAGAAATTATATGTGAGTGGCTATGCATGTTCATATGTATATTTTTGGGCTAGATTTTAATAACGGTTACATGCTGAAACGACTTCGAATTAGGTATATTGAAATTGTTGATTCATATATACGTACAAACTTGGGTTCGTAGATTGTAGTTGTTGACATTACTGAAGTACTTTAATTCTTCGTCATAGGCTTTCACAAAGGTAGATCAAAAAAGTACAAAGTAGACACACAGTAAATATAACAACAGAGAGTGTTTTTTGATGTGAAACTTCCGAGATATCTCCCTTGCTTAATGAACTGTAGCATACAGTAAATCTGCAGTCATTCCTGCACATATTTTAATGGAACCATAATTGTTAGCGAATGGTTGTATAGTTGCATCAAATGAAAACAAACATTAAGTGCTGTATTTCCCTGAATGCATCATTCTACTAACCATAGAATTACAAGCACGGCTTCTGGTTGCATCAATTTACGGTGGCACTAAATACAGCTGTTACAGCTGAACATAAAAAATACTGCCAGCAGTTACAAAATCACGTATATCACACGTAACACTTAAATTTAATCGCTACATGCATCCGCAAGTCTCTACGATCATATTAGAAAGCAATTTTGTTGTAACAGTTCTGTTGCTGTCCATGTAGACCAACTGCAAAGGCTGAAATTGGGTGGCGGCACAACATGGTGTCAACTCTGGACGTCCCCCTCCACTGTTACTATTCTTGCCGTACATCATTTTCTACAATAAGAACAAAAAGTAATAGATTAATTGGTTTTAATCCTTCTTGCTTGTTCGGCCAATAACACCACATACATTGATAGAATCTTCTTTACTGTGAACGTTTCAATCGCAAAGGTGATCTTCTTCAGTACAATGACAAGATACTTTATTCATCTGACTTCCAGGTGACATTTAGTTTATTTTTTCTTTTCATTTTCACATTCATGTACAGTGTGTGTTACATGCTGAGATTGTGCGAAGTCATCATTCCGAATTTTAAGATGACACTACGCAAATCCAGCATAACCCATGACCGCCTCGGGTAGGTGTTCCCGTTCTCAAAAAAGGACGTCCAGACCCCAAAACGACAAGCGAGAATGAGGCTATCTGTCGTTTTGTAATGTACCAGATACGTCGCCTTCGGACATCGTCCCGAAAACGCTAAAATCCCTCGAATAACACGCGATAACCCACCCAGAACTACTGTCTAACTCTAAAAATATTTTAGCGTTGTATGCAAAAAAAAAGACGCAACACAACAGGTGGATAAATTGTTTTGCACTAGAATCGTATGGGAAAGTAGGCCTTTTAATGCCTGTCGTCGTTGATCTCACTAAAAATTATAAAAACAGAAGCTTTGGGGTGTTACAGCGCCTTTAGCAAAAAAATGACTTCAGATCCGTTATCTGAACTCCCGATTCACAAAAGGAGTAGATTTTAATCGAGTGGCAAAATACGCTATAATTTTTAAAATCTTTCTTCAATAGCTTAAGCTTGAAGTTTTGCCGAGTAAAATTATATACGTACAATTGCCATTGTATTTGAAAAAAGAAACCATAGTGACCGAAACGTGGTACAATAAACAAAAATTAAAAAATATACAGGGTGACTTTGAAGTTGAGTTATTTATTTTAACAGTGAGTAGATCTGATCAAAAGAAATGTTTTTTCCTTTAACATTTTTCTGGTAAAATTAAAGTAACAAAGTTATAGCCCTTTAGAAGTTTGAGTACCGCCCTGTCTCAATAATAATATTATGTGCTCGTGTTTGACAACAACGGATATAATACGCCTTATCGGTTCATCGCATCGGAAACAAAAAAGCGGAAGAATTTGAAACGCTTATCACGATGTTTTTACTACAATTTTATTCAGTTGTATTCAGTCAATGTGTCAGTCGGTAACGCGTGAGTGAATAATGGTGTTTGTTGCGTGGCTCAAACGAAATAAAAAATGGCACATGTTTACGAAAATGCTGATCTTGTGGACATGATTCTTATTTACGGGGAGGGGGGAGACTTTACAAAATGCTGCCTCGGCATCACGGATTTATGCCGATCGGTTTCCCAATCGAGTGCAACCAACCCCTCGTGCCTTTGATAATGTAGTACAAAGGGCTCGTGAATCAGGTGACTTAAGACCTCACAGGGGAGGGCATGCCTGTGCTCCAAGACCGCACGATCAAATACAGGTCCGCACTGAAATACTTGTCGGGAGGATACTTTATAAAACAAGGTAACATTTTTTTTTTAATTTTTTTTTATTTTTACACACACAAGGTATATTCTTTAATTCACCAGTTGAGCTACCGGTGCAAGCGGTTAGCCAAGTTTGCGTCCTTTAATTTTCGCTGGAACGACCGGTTGTACATCAAACTTGTCTCTATATTGATGGTGGATATGCCACCGGTGCCAACAGCATCCACCGACGTTCGGGCTCGGTTAATCCACGATATTCTAACCTCTACATTTTATCAGTTTTTGACAACTACAGTTTTGTGTGAAAAAATGGAAGAAGCAAGGATTGAAGTTAGCAGCATAGGAGTCGCGTGAAATTTGATGTTTTTTTTCAACACAATTTGAAATAATCAGAGCATATGAAAGCAAGTCAATTTGTTTTAAATTATGCATATCGACGATCTCAAATCAATACCTCGTAAGACCGAAAATGTCGATTTTCTGACTTTGTTCTGTTTTTATTCCTGTATGAGTACAGGAATGCTCTCAGAAAATCCATAACGATGGTTCTTATACGGGAAGCATCGACGATCTCAAATCAATGCCTCGTATTGATTTGAGATCGTCGATATCTGAAAATTTCTTGGTTTTCTGATTTATAGTTCTTATATTGATTCTCGGAGCGCAAATTCTCTCCGCTGGATGACTTCTTCATCAGAATCATCACTCGAATCGCTTAACAAACGTTTTTTTTTTATACTCCAACTACCACGAAGGCCTAAGCACCCATTGGGTACCGTGGGGCTATAGGGGAATATATGGGAAAGGGGGGGACGCCACACGGACTCTGGCGAGGGAACACGTGTGCATGTAACATGCACACATTCTGGCTCCGCCTACGAGAACCGCCGGGTGGTACCTCCGCGTTCGACAGTCAGAGACCATCTACCACCTACGGACAATCACAACATCCATAGCCAAGAGAAAAATTTCTCCTGGGACGGGACTCGAACCCGCACAGCGCACAGCGACTGATCAGGAGACCGAAGAGTCTACTAATGCGGCCACCGCTTCTGCCTAGATGACAATACCAACTGCTGCGTACATTTCCATAATGATTTCAAAACAAAGGTTATGACAGCAACCTGAAGGCTAAAAATGCGTCTTTTTATTAACAACCATTCAACGGTATAACATCAGCTGTGGACCATGAGTTCAACAGATCCATCAGTGATGGAATCAACCGGTGAATTAAAGAATATACCTATATTTTGGTTTATCTTCCTTCTACAATCATTATCTGAAAATTAATGACTCAACTTCAAAGTCACCCCTGTATATGCGGTTTGATTGGGTCAGACAATGGAGTCCTAGGAACTGAATTTCGACTGTTCAAGTGCCACAAAATCTAATTTTTCCAAAACGTGACTTATGACTATGCATCTGTTTTTCATGCGACGAGTTTTAAAATTCAAAAGTGTCTTAAATAGTAGTAAGTATATATTTTGTGCTACTCACGTGAAGTATAGTATGATGCTGGCTTCCACTGATCGTAATAGCAGATGGCGACAGGCATGATCCTTTACAAAAGTACGCGTTATAACCCTCTGGTTTGATAATCCAGTCTGACCATCCGATTTCAGCAAAGGAAATGTAGAGGCTTTCTTTGCAACATTCATTGACATCAGGTCCACACACTGCTGATCTCCTCTGTCTTTTGTGCCTCATCGTGCGGCGTTGTTGGATGTGGGTATATATCACCAGAAATGGCCTAGACAGTCGAAAATAGAATGATTCAGATCATCAGATCCCAAAAAGTTCACAAAATCTAAACTAGGTAGAAAACACTGTTTTTCATAGAACTCCATGGTTCTCTGGCCAAGTGAAACCATCTATACGTTACTCCAGTTTGGTCAAATACAACCCGATCTTAGGCGCTGGTATCTCAACTGTCGAACACGATTGAAAATCCTCGGGATCATGAAAGACTCAGCTCGCCAGTGAAGTACTTAATGAGGTTGGTGCGTGTGGTGAAATCAATCAACAAATCTCACCTGTTATCGGCTGGAGAAGAAGATACAGGAGATCGAAGTTCGTCTTTGACGCATGTCTTGCATACAATACTGAAAGCGTGAACTGGTGAATCGTAGAAGTCCAACCAATTTTTAACTACGTGTGTCACGTCAACTCGTACCCATTCCTCTGAAAAGAAGAACGTAAATGTCAAACAAGTTGGACTTTACATGAATTGTAATAGGAATAATATTAAAAAGAAGAAACGCCAAAAGGAGCATGAAACAAGTCAGTTCTTATTACAGCAGCTCAAACATGTCAAATATAAATCAAGTTCCTATTCTCACCTGTTAAACTAGTTTCCTGAATTGCAACTGGCGTAGATTTCTTGAAACTTTTGTTCCTATCCCAATGAGCCACCTCAGACACCACAAAAGTCTGATTATGGGAATCCATCAGGTCTTGCTCTTTACGAAACCACAATTCTGCATTGCTAACTTCAGATACATGGATGTCATTTGGCATTTGAAATGGTACACATGCCGCTGGATAGCGGTACGTTGTGAGACATCGAGCATTATCTGCAAATTTGAAAGTGCTTAGATTGGATTTTTTGCAGGATGGGTAAAATCTTAAAAAGTAAGGCTAATCAAGAAATGGTGAGTAATCGTATCGTTCTACTTAATTAACAGGGGCACTTCTTTTCAACGAATATCTAGATAAATATGTGTGACAATAGATAAATTTGTGTGACAATATTGCAGGTGAAAGGTGTGACGCCTTATGGGTAATATGGCATTTAGATTTAGAGCAGCCGAAACAGCAAACTACGGTGTTGGAACCTGGCACAAACCACTTGAGCATGGACTTCTTCGTTTTCTTTAACGTTCAGTACGTGTGAGGCTTGCAGGTATCTGGGAACAATAAGACAAACATATAATATACCATATCAAGTATTGCTACAATGTTTGTTACATTCCTAGACTGGAAATATTCAATGTAGAATATTCAATATTCAACGAACCAAAAAAAAAACTACAAAAGGACAAAAATGCTCGAAAATATAATACGGGAGTTGAAATACCACCAATTACATAATTCATTTCGTACACTGATTCACCCAGCCTTAAAATTTTCGCATCTGTATGTACATAGGTTTCTGAAAATAAATTTAAAGCTATTTTCTTTTGTGTGCGCCAAGTGCGAGGTTTACGCGGTTTTCCGCAGAAATGAAGGCACCTGGAACAAAGAATGACATCTGTTAAACGTGACTGTACGTTAGCATTACCCAGTGAGCACCACGAGGAGGTCTACAGTCAAGCCCACCGCTTAAAACTGGTATCATGAGCGCCTTTCAGAACCTATGATTTAAAAAAGGCTCTCATGGTACCTTATAACATCAAAATGAAAGGGACCGATCGTCATTATTAATTTTTGCAACTTCAACAACATTCCGTACTAAATCTTTATTCGTTTATTCGTTAAAAGGTATAAAACATATGAAGAACGCAGGGAAAAAAGATTCCTTATTATGAGAAATTAAAAAAAAGTTAGATTATAAATATAAAAAATTGTTTTTGATATACAAGGTAAAACCCCAAAGTCAAAGCAGACCAAACATTTTTTTTAATGGAAAATCCTTTTTGTGTTTTGAGATTCTCCTTGGGATTTTAGCATTTTTTATGTGTTAGCGTCCATGTCTGAATTCAACTCTTTTTGAGATATTGAGGTTAGAAATGAGCCTTTCGTCATATGCACACCCTGTAAAATCTAATTGTTGATTAGCCAGCAAAATGCCTATCTCAGGTTTAACGATCTATTCTAATATGAGAACAACCTTAACAGGAGATTTATTACACACTGCCTAGAACATGAGAAAAAGGTGATTTTCTAACCTCAATAGCCCCAACACAGAATTATTCCCAAGTATTTTTTTAATTGGGGCATAAAAAAACAATGAGCCCAAAAAAGCTTTATTCAAAAGAATGTAGAGCAAATAAAACAAAATTTATAGTAACTGCTTAAAAATGATACTTAACGTTTATTTCTTCAATGGCTGATTGGTGTTTGATGAATTGTTGTAACAACTACTAGTTTCGGTGACAATCAGTGAACGTTCATCTTTTTTGCATGCAACGGCTGTGACATTCATCTTTTTTTCCCTGCACGGCAAGATTTCAATTGGATATAACTACGGACTGTTACTGTCTTTACGAGTTTCCAATACCTCATGGGATTGCACTGTGTTAAGACTACTTGTAAATATTAAGGAAAATTAATTTTCTCGTCCCTAGGTTAGGCAGCCGGTGTCAGATTTTGTTTTACCCTGAAAGTTGTAATAAAAACATCAGGTGCAAATCACCGTTATACTATATGTGTAAATGTTTCAATGCGATTTGTTCCTCTTGTGATATTTTTTGTGATCGAGAAAAATCTGTATTGGATTGTTACCGAGTACCTTGGTGTGATATACAGGGTTATCCAAATTAAGTGTCCACCATTAGTAACTTTGTTATTAGTGAAAATACAAAGTTGTTTGAATTAGCAAACTAGTAGCATTTTTAACGCTGGTAAAAATGAGAAATAAAAAAAAACAATTGAGAGTCGTTATTTTGATTTTTTTCAGTAAAATAACATTTTTTTAAATGGAAACCCCTGTATATTATATTTTTTTCTGTTAAAGCATCAAATTTTAAACAAAAAAGTTCATAATGACTTTTCCGCTAAAGTCAAAAATAAAGTCAAAATAACGATAAATATTTTTAATTATTTGCAGTATTATAATATTAAGACGGCTATGAAAACAACATGGCGTTCGCGATTTGACAGCATTAAGATAAGCGGCAAATTGTTAAACTGGACATACTCGCAACTAGAAGGCTTTGGAAAACAATGATAAAATCAAATAATGTCAAACATTAGTGTAAATACTTGTTTATAAGCTTTATTGTGTCATTAATTTAAAGAAAAGTGTTCTCCCATGAAGAAAAGTGTGATATGTTAGAATGCTATTTAGTGTGCAGAAAATCCTCCTTGAGAGCAAGAGAATACTACAGTGAATTATATCCCGCTCGCATTCAACTGTATGAACGATATTTTCTGAGACTTTATCGAAAATTTAGGGGCAACGAAAATGTTTTTGCTAAAACAAGGGCAAAAAAAGAATTCATAATAAGCGAGGCCACGGAAATTGCAGTTTGGATATTTTGAAGCTTATCGTGAGAATTCAATAGCAGATATTCTCAAGGACTCTAATTTCAGTTATGGTACTGTTCAAAGGATTTTAAAAAAATACAAATTTATTCCGTATAAGTACCGACCAGTTCAAACGCTTTTGGCATGGGAACCAGAGAGAAGACTTGTTTTTTGCCATTGGTATCTTAGCTTCTGTCGCCAAAATGTAAATAAATTTCGTTACCTTTTATGGACAGATGAATCAAATTTTTCAAATTCTGGAATGTTTAATAGAAAAAACCACCATTATTGGTCAAGAGAAAATCTTTTGTTAGTACATCCAAGAGGCCCACAAGTCCGTTTCAGTTTCAACGTTTGGTGCGGTATAATTGGTTCAAAAATTGTTGGCCCGTTCTTTTATGAGGGAACCCTAACTGGTGAAAGATATGTGGAATTTATGTCAGAAATTCTAACTAATTTCTTAGACGAATTGGATCTTATAAGTAGACATCATCTACATTTTCAGCAAGATGGCGCACCTGCCCACAACTCCAGAGGTACTTATCATTTTCTAAGTACTACTTTTAATGATCAGTGGATAGGAACAAATGGCCCAATACAGTGGCCTCCCAGATCACCAGATCTAAACCCACTTGATTACTTCTTGTGGGGTTACTTAAAGAACCAAATTTACAAGCGAAGGTACGATAACCTTGACGCGTTAAAGACTGCAGTTAGGGAAAAGATAACCCAGATGGTAGGACCATACTTAAGACAGTTCGAGCAGTTGAAAAACGTGCCCAAAAATGTATTGAAGAATAAGGTGGTGTTTTCGAGCATCTTCTTTAAAAAAAATTGTTATTGTATTTTGTAAGATTATAAGTTGATGTTGAAAATAAAGTTTGTCGATACAATTTAATTGTTTCAGATTGGAGGCCATAACTTCAACAATTTGTAACCTAGGAGAAAAGTTATTGTAAGCTTTTTTGTTTAAAATTTGATGCTTTAACAGAAAAAAATATAATATACAGGGGTTTCCATTTAAAAAAATGTTATTTTACTGAAAAAAATCAAAATAACGACTCTCAATTGTTTTTTTTTATTTCTCATTTTTACCAGCGTTAAAAATGCTACTAGTTTGCTAATTCAAACAACTTTGTATTTTCACTAATAACAAAGTTACTAATGGTGGACACTTAATTTGGATAACCCTGTATAGAATCGATATGTTAAGAGCTATTTCCACATTTCTAATACTGGCATACTTGTATACATTTATTTGTGTTTTTTTATGTTCCGCGGTTGTTACATTATTGACTTACTCTCGTTGTTGATATATTTCCTGTAATTGTAACCTGTTGGGAATTATAAATAACTATGTTGCCGGTTCTAACTACAAAACATCAAATTTGTGACATTCATTTTTTCCATGCACCCTTCACATATATGCTCTATCAGTTTCATTCACCAAAGTTAAACTGTATTAGCCCTTGGAAAACAAGATTTCCTTCTAATTAACTTCAGACTTTGACCACGCGTAAAAATCCTTCTGTTAAACCGCTTACTGCTTGGACATTAAACAGTACACACTACTTTAACAACTTCATGGATACATCATATTCAATTGTCAAGTTTTACGCTGATACCTGTTTAGATAACCAATTTAGAGTAGGTAGGAGGAGGCATATACAGTTTGTTTGTAATCAAAATTGCGTAGTCAGTAGTCAGGCTACAAGTTCATACTACAAGTCGATGAACCTTAACCCTTAACCACAGACATCCGGTCAAAATGACCGGCTGCAAATTTCAACTGCTGAAATTCATCGCATCCCTACCACTACCGCTTATGAGCTTCTACGTACCTTCGTCTTCGTATCTTCGTAACACTTAGTTTGATGCTATTAGCCGGTGGATGGAGACTGTATTTCTCGAAGCAAGCGAAATATCGTAGTTCAAAGTTCGCAACCGGTAAAAAATACCGGAGGTCTGTATAAACGTAATAATTTGGATATGTTGAATTATTATTTTTCTGATGTTTTTAGCCTTATAAATTGAGTATGGTTTCTAATCCTGGGCCCTCAAAGAAAGTAAAATATGGAGATGCTGATTTTGAAGCTACTTTACTGAAATGGGAAGAGGAAGTCGATTCTGGTGGAAGCGATATCTAATCAGATGGCGACTATATACCATCGGATCATGACACTGAGTCGGAGGTTGAATTCGACGAAGAGGACAACGAAGATCTAGGTGAAATTGAAAATCCAGAAAATGTTCCCAGTGGCAACTACGCTTATGGTAAGAATCGCTTTAAATGGTGCAAGGATTCTCCGGTTCCCAAGAATACATGCACGTTACAACACAATATTGTTGTTAAATGCCCGGGACTTAAAAGAAATGACATCTACAGCGCTGATGCTGAGCAAGTATGGAGTCTTTTATTCAATGAGCAAATTCTGAATGTCATTCTTCAATCTACCAATGCGAGATTGATGAAAATGCGTCACAAATACAAAAATGCAGAAAAAAACTTCCATATTCGTGATTTGGATCGTATGGAACTTAAAGCTTTTCTAGGATTGCTAACTCTTATGTCAATTTTTAAATCCAACCATGAGGACATAAGATCCCTTTTCGCCACAGATGGCTCTGGACGAGAAATTTTCCGATGCGTGATGAATGAGATCCGATTTGCAATAATTCTTTCTTGTTTGAGATTCGATGATGCCGAAACTGGGGAGACCGTAGAAATCAAGATCCATTAGCAGCTATTTCCGAAATATTTAATAATTTTGCAACAAATTGCCAAAAGGCTTACACTATAGGAACATGTGCTACATGTCGCGGTCGATGCAAGTTTAAAATGTTCATGACAGCCAAACCCTGCAACTATGGTCTAAAAGTTATGTGTCTAACGGATGCCAGAACTGGATACCTCTTAAATGCTTGTATATATTCTGGAAAGAATTCTGATGGCTATCTGTTAACAGATGAGGAACGAAAATTCTCGAAACCCACTCAGGCGGTACTCAGACTAACCAAACATATTTATAACACAAACAGAAATATTACAGTCGATAACTGGTTTTCCTCAAAAGAACCGGTAATTTTTCTGAAAACTAAAAATCTAACTTTTGTCGGAACACTTACAAAAAATAAAGGTGAGATTCCTCCTAGCTTTTTGCCAAAAAGAAGAAGAGAGATTGGTTCCAACATCTATGGATTTACCACTGATACAAACATGTTATCTTTTGTACCTAAAATAAATAGAGCAGTAATAATGATCTCTTCCATGCACCACAATAAAAATACCGATGTTGACACTGATAAGCCAGAAATTATCAGTTTTTGCAACACTACTAAAGGCGGAGTGGATAGCCTAGACCAAAAGTGCAGTATTTATTCTTCAAGTCGTAGAACTCGCCGATGGCCCATGGTCATTTTTTTCAGATTGGTAGATATAGCGCCTGTAAATTCATATATTCTACATCAGTCATACTGAGGTAATCCAGAAATTATCCGCTATCATTTTGGAAAACAGTTAGCAATGCTTTTGGTAACTCCACATATGCAACGCCGATATCAAAATGTGCGTATCGGTCGTGAAATGAAAATATCTATAAGACGTATACTACAATTGGAACAAGAAGAACATCCTATGGAAGGTGATATACTGAATACAAGGACGACTTGTAGACGTTGTTCCTCGAAGAAAGAGACAAAAAAATTCCATGCTTGTATAATGTGTAAATCTCCAATATGCATGGAATGTACTAGGAGAATTTGCAAAGAATGTTCCATCTAAATATGCTAATAGTTTACCCTTTGCAGATATTTTTATATAGATTGTTTTCAGTTATGCTTTGATATTATTTTATTTAGAAGAGTTTATTTCAATTATTTATGTGCGTAAAAGTGTTGTATACGTTTTTATTTTATGTTTATTTATGACTCTGTTATACTTGAACAAAAATATAGCA